TTAAGGCTTCCAGAAATGCTTTAAAAAGCAGCAGGTCCTCTGGTATATATCCCAAGATGCAGCCAAGAATGAAATTTTATAGCCCATTGAAAAAAAAGATACTATTATGGAAAGTCTGACACACCCTTAATTATACCAGCATGAGCGAATCCATTAAAATAAAATACATCAGAGGCACAGAAGGGCTTTCTGTAATGTGGTGTCCGATCAATGCAATCGGTGCATGGCTTCAGAGTTCCAGGAATCCTCATTCTTCCCCCTAACCCCAGGCTGAGTGAAGAAATCATAATGGGAATAGAAGCCCGGGTTGAAGATGGCAATGTGGCAGACCAGAATCAGTCAATTCAGGTGGAATTTAAATATGAAATAGTCATAGAACTAAATGGGAAGGTTAGTCACCTCCATCCATCTGCAACGTACATTTTTATTATTCACCCCCAAATCAGCTCTGATTTATGGTCACAATGTGAATGAGAGATCTCCCAGAGTAGTGTTTCTCAACCTGGGGCTCTGGACCCCTGGGGGGGGGGGAGTTGCAGTGGGGTATCAGAGAAGTCGCCAAACACCATCAGAAAACAGTATTTTTCTGTTGGTCATGGGGGTTCTGTGTGGGAAATTTGGCCCAATTCTTTTGTTGGTGGGGTTCAGAATGCTCTTCCATTGTAGATGAACTATAAATCCTAGCAACTACAACTCCCAAATGTCAATGTCTATTTTCCCCAAACTTCACCATGTTCACATTTGGGCATACTGAGTATTCGTGCCAAGTTTGGTCCAGATTCATTATTGTTTGAGTCCACAGTGTTTTCTGGATGTAGGTGAACTAAAACTCCAAAACTCAAGGTCAGTGCCTACCAAACTCTTCCAGTATTTTTAGTTGGTCATGGGAGTTCTGTGTGCCAAGTTTGGTTCAATTCCATCGTTGGTGGAGTGCAGAATGTTCTTTGTATTGTTGAAGGCTTTCATGGTCGGAATCACTAGGTTGTTGTAGATTTTTCAGGCTATATGGCCATGTTCTAGAAGCATTCTCTCCTGATGTTTTGCCTGAACCTCTGAGGATGCTTGCCAGATGCAGGTGAAACGTCAGGAAAGAATGTTTCTAGAACATGGCCATATAGCCTGAAAAACCTACAACCCAGAATGTTCTTTGATTGTAGGTGAACTATAAATCCCAGAAACTATAACTCCCAAATGTCAAGGGCTCTTTCCCCCAAACTTCACCAGTGTTCACATTTGGACATATTGGGTATTTGTGCCAAGTTTGGTTCAGATCCATCGTTGTTTGAGTCCACAGTGCTCTCTGGATATAGGTGAACTACAACTCCAAAACCCTTCCAGTATTTTCTGTTGGTCATGGGAGTTCTGTGTGCCAAGTTTGGTTCAATTCCATTGTTGGTGGAGTTCAGAATGCTCTTTGATTGTAGGTGAACTATAAATCCCAGCATCTACAACTCCCAAATGACAAAATCAATCCCCTCTAACCCCAATCAGTATTCAAATTTGGGCGCATTGGGTATTTGTGCCTGTTTTAGTCCAGTGAATGAAAATACATCCTGCATATCAGATATTTACATGAAAGTTCGTAACAGTAGCAAAATTACAGTTTTGAAGTAGCAACAAAAATTATTTTATGGTTGGAGGTCACCACAACATGAGGAACTGTACTAAGGGGTCTTGGCATTAGGAAGGTGGAGAAATACTGTCCTACTGGCATCAATAGTTCCTGCTCAGGTCTTACAAATGCATGGCTTTGGATTGCTGGATTGAATTAATCTACCTCTAACGTGGTCTTCCTTTTTCTTCTTATGCCTTTCACTTCACTAAGCTTTTTCTAGTGAATCACATCATTTCATAGTACATCCAAAGTACAACTATGTTAATTTTGTCATTGTGGCCTCTGGGAACAATTCATGCTCAATTAGCTATCGCGTCACCCTTTTGATGGAGACCCTGGTGGCGCAGTGGGTTAAACGCTTGTGCCAGCAGGACAGAAGACTGACAAGTCACAGGTTTGAATCCAGGGAGAGCACAGATGAGGTCCCTCTATCAGCTCCAGCTCCCCATGTAGGGACATGAGAGAAGCCTCCCACAAGGATTGTAAAACATCAAACACCCAGGCATCCCCTGAGCAACATCCTTGCAGACGGCCAATTCTCTCATACTAGAAGCAACATGCAGTTTCTCAAGATGCTCTCCTCACACAAACAAAAAATCTTTTTGACACTCTTAACTCTTCATAGACCAACATTCAGGGGAGACCAAAACAGCTATTATTCTTAATCTTTGTTCCTTCCCAAAGCTGAAATGGCGTGCTTACTTACTTAGGAGTAAGCCCTATAAAGCTTTTGATCTCTGCCTATCACCATCCCCACCTCATGTGTGTCGCATCAGTCATATAGGCATTGGACCTGTGAATAAACTGGAAGACAGAGAAGAAGAAAGACCAAATGCAAGTGGAAGAGGTGGGAGGAACGTATGTGAAAAATTAGAGGAAGAAAAATGAGAAAAGGAAGTAGGCATCACAGCTCTGCCTTGATCTTGGAACACTGGTTTGATCCCATTTCTTACATCAAAGCACCTTTAATGTATAAAATGGGTTACATGAACAAAAATGGTTCAAAAGCACCAAGGAGAACTTAATGCCACAAAAGGGAAGCTGAATGGCCAGATAAAAATATAGAAGATACAATTCACTTTTACCATGTTTCAATTATCTTCCACGGCAGCTAAAGGAGGTGCATGTATTCCTTCGTATACACAAACACACCTCCACAAAGGAAGGCTGAGTCCTTTCATAAAACGGTGGGCCTAGAATACAAGGTAGGTTCTGCCACCATGTATAGGGGGCTCATTATGGAAGCATACCTTTACTAATTCTTTTGGTACTAATGTTGGAGAGTGGTCCCTGGTCAAAAATGGTTGGGAACCACACTTTTAAGTGAAACCTTCCCATTACAGTCACAAAATCCTACTCATCTCAGTATCACCACTGCTGCAGTAGCAGCAGCACAACCTGAAATTCAAGTGACAATGAAAACTATTTTGCTGTTTCAGCATTATTTCACTGTTCCCCCTGCCTCTCCCTCCCCCCAATAAAATAAAATAAAATATGGATGCCTTCACAGGATATACTTCTTGCTGCCAGTCTAGATTTGAGATCATGTTGTGCCTGGCTCTCTTCTGCTCTCTGGTGGAATTTTCTGCTTATTTTCTAAAATCCACGCTTAACAAGGCAATGCCTTGGTAAAAAAAAACATTTTAAAGGCTTAAAGCTGAGAGCGCATCTGCAGTGTAGCATTAATGCCATTTGACACCACTTTAAGTGCAATGTCTCAGTGTTGGTAGTTTAGTGAGGCACCAACACTCTATGGTAGAGAATGCTTCACCAAACTACACTTCCAATTGAATCAGCAGAATTAACTAGTGAATCAATTGATTCAAAGGGCCTGCCTTTGAATTTAAATTTAAATAAATAAATAAATTTACATATATAGGATTGCATCATTAGGATCATTGCATCATAGCAGCCCCCAGTAGTGCAATGGGTCAAACCCTTGTGCTGGCAGGCCTACTGACCAACAGGACAGTGGTTTGAATCCAGGGAGAGAGGGTTGAGCACCCTCTATCAGCTCCAACGTTCATTCGGGGACATGAGAGAAGCCTCCCACAAGGATGGTAAAACACCAAACATCCAAGTGTCCTGAGTAACATCCTTGCAGCTGGCCAATTCCCTCACACCAGAAGCAACTTGCAGTTTCTCAAGGTGCTCCTGACACAAACACACACACACACACACAAAATGACTGTAGACTCAAAGCAACTGATATGGAATTAGGTCTTTGGTGTCAGTGGTGCTTATACCCTGACAAGTGGTTAAACAATTACTCCCTCAGTTATGTTTCAGTCGTATTAATATGAGTAGGCCAAGTTCTACCCGACTTAAGTCCCCACTGGATTCAAGTATGGCTAAACTAACTTCAATTTAATTCACATCTGAATTACTGAGAACATCCTGTATACCAAGTTGAAAATATGGGCAAAACATATTTGGCGGTACTCTTCTTGCATGTTTCTGATATATTCAAGAACAACATTGCATACAAATGTTAACAATTCTTAACAGCCATCTTATGCCCAAATGGGATCAGTAAACCAAGCCAAAAAAGACTTATCAGTTTAGCTCAGTGCCTCTTTACAGCAACTAAATATAAGGAGGCAGCCAAACGAGACGATTTGGGTCTTGTTTATCATGAACAGAATGAAGGCCTGATGTGTTCACACCCATACCAACAAGTTTCTAGGGTGAATGACCCAGCATTGCATTTGCCTTAACCCATGCTGTTCAGGCTACATAAACACAAATCATTTGTTTAATATAAACAAACTTAAACATGGGGCTAAGAAACCATTTTTATGCTCTCTCCTCTACCTTCATTTATTCTCTAGTCTCTAAACCCAGTATCTTTCAGATGTGTTATTGAAGAATGTATTTGCAACGAATGAAATAAGACAGTTTTTTAAAAGATATAAATAAATAAATAACTTGCATATTTAGCTAATTTCAAGTATTTCAAACTTACACTGAATCTACACAGGCCCAATAATGTTGTAACCTTGATTCCAGTCTTGCTGAAACACACGATGTTTCTGTTTCTGATGTAAAAATGCTTCAATGCACAGGGGCTTTAAGGGGATTTTAAAAAACCACTGCAGCAGTTTATTCTGCTAGTTTGGGGAACAACTGGGTTTTAAAACGTGGTTTGAGCCCTGAATTGCGTTTGTAGTGGAATTACAACTGAAATGGAGGAATGGTTGCCGAAGGCTTTCATGGCCAAATCACTGGGTTGTTGCAGGTTTTTTGGACTGTATGGCCAAGTGCCGTAGGCTATATTTTAGAGAAAGGAACTGGCAAAACCACCTGAGTCTTCTTTGCCTTAAAAGCTCCCCAATGAAATCCATGCACTTGCAGGAAGTCAACAGGAGTCTTGATGACGTAAGCCTTGTGCAAAGATGAAAATTGTTGGGTTTATTCCGCCACTTGTGTTGCTTGAAGAGACATAAAGTTTATCACCTGAAGCAGGTGAGATGTTTGTACCCTCAAGTGGTAAACAATCTTGACGGTACAGCCCAGGAGCGAAGGCATAAGTGCCTGTTTGCTCATGGATCATTCTGAAGTGCTAACCTGTTCCCCCATCTGCTCCCATTTCAATGAGTCCAAATGGAAGTAGTGCAGGGCAAGTTAGCAATAATAAACGGCAGGAATGTCATGACGCAGCACAAAAAGACTCAACACAGAAACAATTACATTCAAATAGAGATTTACATCTCTTAATTAACAAAGGTGTAAGAATGTCTGCATCCTTCAGAGATTTCTTTGTCACAAATCTTGAATTGTAAGTCATAGGAAGCTTCAGTAACTTCATGAAAAGAGTAATATCAGTCCCATACAAGCTATTGGTATATATACATCCTGCTCCCCCCGGGAATTCTGGATTTGTAGTTTGACACACAATGGGTTAAATTGTGCCAGCAGGACTGCTGACCAAATGGTCAGTGGTTCAAATCCAGGAAGCAGTGTAAGCTGCCATATAATTTAGCTCCAGCTTCTCATGTGGGGACATGAGAGAAACCTCCCACAGGATGGTATAACATCTGGGCTCCTCTCGGCAACATCCTTGCAGATAGCTAATTCTTTCACACCAGAAGCAACTTGCAGTTTCTCAAGTCACTCCTGACATGGAGGAAAAAAAACAGAACTCTTGACAGAAAAGGGTAAATATAAATAACTTGCAAAATGATAACTCCATATAATACTGACCCAAGCCAGTTAATGGTATTATTCTGCAAAATAGAGTGGCTGCATAATTTCATTTCCTTCTTCTCTTGAGCTTTAATGGAATATAGTTCATAGTCTTATTTCTGTGTTTTGAAACCAGTTGACATCATGATGGCTTGCTGCCCCATTTCCCTTTAGACTTCTTAAGGCTGGAGAAAATGTATCTCCTCTCTAACATACGCTTGCTGAGGAACTTTGGGATGACTCTTTTGTGCCAATTGATACAATTTGGTATCATTTACTGGAATCACTTGGTAAATCACATTGTGTTTTGATCAGACGTAGGACAGCTTTGACAACTTCTTCTCTAGATGGGCTGGCGTCAACTGGTTGGCATGCAGGATTCTCCATTCTTCTGTAGGCCTCTTCTACTCTATTTTGAAAAAGCAGACCATTAAATAATTACATATACAATAGGCCTGTGCGGTTTCGTTCGTTAATTCGTTATTAATTCGTTATTTTTGGCATTTCCGAAGCGATATCAAAACACATTTCCAAACCCGGAAGGGTTTTAAAATATCGAACCAGCAACCCCCATAGATTTAACGAGCTTCCGCTCGTTTCGTTAATGGGGTGGAGGCTGCTGGAGTGCTGGTGCCTGGGAGCCAATCCGGCGCTCCCAAGCAGTGCACCGTGGGTCCGTGGCTGTTTGTTTTTGATTGGCCGGCGAGCCCTTTCAAAGCGGCTCCGCGCGGCCGTAGCTCATTGCTGCAGAGGGCGAGGGAGTTTGCATTGGGTTGGCTTGGCTTGGCTAGCAACTGGATTGGATTCATTCCTTGCTGCTGTGAGTGCTGCTTGCTTCATTTGCTGTCTCCTGCCTGTGTTTGGTCCACATTTGGGCCATTTTTTGGTTAATTTTCCATTTTAAAATATTTTTTAATATTATTTTTTAATATTATTTTTTAATATTATTTTAATATTATTCTTAAAAAATATTCTAAAAAAGAAAAGACTCTTCTGTTGGTGTGTGCTCTCATTTGCTGTCTCCTGCCTGTGTTTGGTCCACATTTGGGCCATTTTTTGGTTAATTTTCCATTTTAAAATATTTTTTAATATTATTTTAATATTATTCTTAAAAAATACAAAAATATTCTAAAAATTCGTTAATATTTACAAAATTTCGTAAATACCAAAACTTTTTTTGGAAAAGTTTTGTAATTATTTTAAATATCGAAACAAAAAAACACCCCAATTACAAATCGATTTTAGAAACAAATTTTTTCTTGATCAAATATACAACTCTCACACAGTAGATATGCAATACTTCCAATGCAGTGCTACTTAGACCTTTGCCTGATCAAGTTCTTATTAACTTACTTCTTTCATAAGCCTGCTAAGATATTACTAGATTTTAGTGAAAATATAATGGATCTTTACCTATCTAGCAAGATAGTGACAAAACCTTGTGCGCTATAGTTTGAGATTTGGGTTCCACTTTTTGATCACAATCCCTAAAGGACTAGACTAGACCTTCTGAATGTGAAGTTGAAACATAGTATTTTAATTTATCGAATGGAGTTAATTTAACTGAGCCTAGCAAATCAGATTCAAACAATTCATTAATTATATATGAACATCAAGAGAGAATGTGGACCTGTGTAGAGCTGCGAAGGGAGAAAAGAGTAAGAGGATGAGAAGTAGAACTCATAAACAAACCTTGACTTACTGTGTTACTATCTGTGAAACGATTTGGACTATAGTGGTTCCAGAGAGTGAAAATTGGAACAGGCTCCTGTATCTTTAATTAGATTTCGATTACTGGGGTGTATGTTACAATCTAAATTAATTTTAAGAAATATTTTTAATCCAATTATTCCAAACCACTTTAAAGGCTTTGGAAGAAGAGAAGGCTGAGAGGAGATATGATAGCCATGTATAAATATGTGAGAGGAAGACACAGGGAGGAGGGAGCAAGCTTGTTTTCTGCTTCCCTGGAGACTAGGACGCGGAACAATGGCTTCAAACTACAAGAGAGGAGATTCCATCTGAACATGAGGAAGAACTTCCTGACTGTGAGAGCCGTTCAGCAGTGGAACTCTCTGCCCCCGAGTGTGGTGGAGGCTCCTTCTTTGGAAGCTTTTAAACAGAGGCTGGATGGCCATCTGTCAGGGGTGATTTGAATGCAATATTCCTGCTTCTTGGCAGGGGGTTGGACTGGATGGCCCATGAGGTCTCTTCCCAACTCTTTGATTCTATGATTCTATGAACTCTATTTCTTCCTAAATGTGTTTATAAACCAGCCCCCAAAGATGTAGCCAAATGTGTATGAGACTGCAGCACTTATTGGTTCAACCAGTGGTTCTTAAACTGCTCCTCCAGATGTTTTAGACTTCAGCTCCCACAATTCATAACAGCTAGTAAACTGTCTGGGATTTCTGGGAGCTAAAGTCCAAAACACCTGGAGAAGCACAGTTTCAGATTCATTGAGTTAAACCAGTGGTTCTCAACCTGTGGGTCCCCAGATGTTTTGGCCTTCAAACTCCCAGAAATCCTAACAGCTGGTAAATTGGCTGGGATTTCTGGGAGCTGTAAGCCAAAACACCTGGGGACCCACAGGTTGAGAACCACTAAGTTAAACAATTTGGATTGCAGGGGTTTCCAAGTGTGACAATTGGAATGTGTCTTTAATTAGATTTAGATTAGGGACAGGAGTGAGAATCTGAATTACATTTCAGAAATAGTTACATTTAATTTTGTTAATTAAACACAATTGTAATTAACTACTTTAAGGAGTAGTTATTTAAAAAGTTACTTTTATCATTATAATTCCATTATTATTAACTACTTTTATGGAGAGTCTGTGTAAGCACATACCTCTGACGGAAAGACCTATTTTCTTCCAGCTCAGCCTCCTCCCTGGTCTTCTCCATCCCTCGTCCCTGCAATCTCCGGATTCTTTCATCTGAGCTGAGAGTCAGCAGCAAGACAACGTCTGGCTTCAGCAAGTCTTTGGGCCAGCAGTAGACTGGATGATGAGGTGGAGGGAGATCGTCTACCTTCCCACTGATTTCTGTGGCAATTGCATAGGCAGCAGTGCTGTGCCAATATCTATCGAGCAAAACACAACAGAGTGGTGTGTGTGTGTGTGTGTATGTATATATATATATATACACACACACACATGCACGCATACACACATATAAATAGTAATTGTTTCCCCTTGATATTAAGTCTAGTCGTGTCCAACACTGGGGGGCAACTAATGTAGAAAAACCACAAGAGTGAGCAAGCTGTGAAACTCACACATATAACCCAGAATATCAAGGTAGAAAACCCACAATATCTGCTTTGAACTGAGTTATCTGAGTCCACAATGCCACATATTCCAGTTCAAAGCAGAAAATGTGCGATTTTATTCACCTGTTGTTGGACTACAACTCCCATCGGTTTTCACCATTGGCTATGCTGACAATTGGCTATGCTGAACTGCAGAGCCACATGCTGCCTAGGTCCAGAGTTAGTGTAATATTCCAGAGGGTTAACACAGCTGGTAAATCACCAGTAACTATAAGGTCCGTCAACCGAAAGATCTCAAGTTTGAAGCCCCGCATCGGTGTAAGCTGCCAATTGTCAGTCCTACTTACTGTTTACCTAAGCAATCAAAACAGCTTTAGCTGTAATTAGAAAAATTAGGTACCGCTAAAAGCAGTGGAGGTGTTTTATGATGCCATAAAGAAAGAAGATCAGAAAATGCTGGGCGACCAAAAGGAAGGAGGAAGTCCTGGCAGTTCTTTCCCATCGAGGATGGAGCGACAGCACTCCCTGTGGCTGGACTCGAGCCCAACCATGGCACCAAAACAGCTGGATACTGAGTCGAAACAACATCCCTTCTTTCTGTTCTGTCTGTATATTGTCTGTACAAAGCGGCATTGAATGTTTGCCATGTATGTGTACTGTGATCCGCCCTGAGTCCCCTTTGGGGTGAGAAGGGTGGAATATAAATAAAGTATTATTATTATTATTATTCAATCATTTTTTGAAAGCCACCAACTGGCCATATCTATTTGACTTTCCCAAAGGCTGTAAATCAGAACAGTGATCTCATTGGAAAAGCTTAATGTTGTAAAATAGTTCATGTTCTGTCCCTTATCTTTTCTCTTTTATCTACATATGATAAGCATCTAAAGTAGCACGAATGCCTAAAACAGGTGGTGGGAATCATGCATCCCCTTCTACCATAGTTGGACTGCTAGTCACAGCAGCCCAAACTAAGGAGGAATACTGGAAAATGCAGTCTGTAGGGTTCCATAATTCCTATGCTTGGCCCACGAAATGTGGGCAGCCTGTGTTTAATAATGGAGAGAACTCCTTCAAGCTGCAATGGCTGCTTGAGCATATCTCCATCCTAAATGAGGGTTGAATTCAGAGAAGGATCCTCAAATGCTTTTAAATACAGTGCGATACAGAAGATGCTTCACGTTTACAAACCTATCCACAATCACTGGTGAGTTCACAGATGCCTTTGCTATTTCAGAAGCAACAATGTAGTTAGTCAGTGCATAAAATGCTCTCCGTATGAGTGTTGGTTGATTGTCAAAAACCTTTCTCCACTGACTGACACAAGGAGGAGGGGTCCTCAAGAGAACAGCATTCAGCGCGTCCTTCAGAGCACAAGTCACTGTCGTTTTGCCTACATTTGACATAGAAAACACACAAATGGGAATGTATTTACAGAATACAAGAGTAAGTTCAACCAACAAGTCAATAAATTACATATCTGCAAATGCCTGGCTTCCTTAGATCAGACTCCAACAGCTAAGCCTATCTAGACTTTTTGCAAATGCTAGTTCTGAAAAAGAAGTATTAGTCATTGTTGGGTTTCATGCCTGGACTGCACAAGTCTCTTGTGTCATCAAGTCTCCAGACCTCAATGAGTAGATAAGACTAGAAATAAGATTAGGCTGAGGGATTCCTCCCCCACTTTCCTATGCATGTTTACCAAAAGGGCTTTGTCTTTACTCCTCTGCTAGCCACTGTCTTCTCCCTCTTTTGAAGATTTAGCAATGGAATCTCTGAGGGAACTTTCTTTTTAAAGGTATTTTTATTGCCCTGAGCTTGGCCATGTGGCCATTCACCATTTTCCAGTCTCTTCTGCTTTTTCTTCCTTTAAGTAAAGATGCATTTTGCCTATCTCTTTAGGAAAAATGTAGCTAAATGGAACTTTTGAGTTTTCACCCTTTTACATTTCTTAGAAGGTGAGACTTCGCAAGCTAGTTAGCTCCAAGACCTTTTCTATCAAGAATGTATTTATTTTACGTACTTCAATAAATTCTTTTGAACCTAAAGTTCTAACTCTGCAATCCTATGCCATCCTATGAAGCTCACCACACGTAAGTTTCTGCTGGTTATGAAGTTTGCTTCTGGTACTCTGCCATATTTATGGTGGAATTACCCCAACTGAGGGTTATTTTTTAGCCTAACAGCTCAGATTCCCCAACAGTGATTTTCTACCAACTGAGGCCAGATGGGAATTAGCTGGGTTATGTGATGGTGATGATGAAGAGAAACTTTATGAGCATTAATTCTGTCTCAAGCTATACACTACCCAGAAAGTTTTGTTTATCAGATAGGAAAAAGTGTATTGAATATATGAATATTCTCATAATTATTAAACAAATTGGCAGGAAGAACGATTCCACCTAAACATTAGGGAGAAATTCCTGCTGTTAAAAGCTGCTCAACAATGGAATAGGCTGCTTGGGATTGCAGTAGAGTCTCCTTGTTGGGAAGTGCTTTGATTGTGTGCTCCTGCGGGACAGGGGGTTGGACTGGATGGTTCTTGAGGCTCTTCCAACTCTATTAGTCTATGAATGTTGCTATCAATATTAATATTTATGCATTGCACCTCAAAACGTTACCACACCTATTTATTTTAATCTACGTAAATCCCGCACAACAGCTTTTGTGTGTGTGTCAGGAACAACTTGAGAAACTGCAAGTCACTTCTGGTGTGAGAGAAATGGCTGTCTGTAAGGATGTTACCCAGGGGACGCCCAGATATTTACCATCCTGTGGGAGGCTTCTCTCATGCCCTCGCATGAGAAGCTGGAGCTGACAGACGGGAGCTCACCCCACTTCCCAGATTTTAACCACCGACTATTTGGTCAGCAATCCTGTTGGCACAAGGGTTTACCTCACTGTGCCACTGCCAGGGGCTCCACATAACAGCTAATCATTAACAGACACTCATAAAACACTTCAATCACTAAAACTGGACTTAATAATTTTACAGTCTTGAGTGACACTTGTCAAAGCTGCTTCGAAAATGGCAACCTGAGAGATGGGTTGGCTTACTAATACAAGACAGATACTGGCAGTCCCTGGGTTATGAACATGATAGATCCTATAGTTTGTTCTTAAGTTAAATTTGTATGTAAGCCTGTACTAATGTTTTGATAGGCATTTTTGAGTTACCTGTTGCATCCAGTCCTTCAATAACGATCACAGGGAAATTTCCCTTCTCTGTGTGCACAGGACAATTATCCACAAGATCAAGAACGGCTCTGGCTTCGGGGACAGAAGATGTGCACTGAAAGAAAAGGATTTTAGAATGTTAAATTCAACTTTTTAAAAAACTGAATTAAATGCATTTAGAAAAAAAACAGTGTTGTGGCTTCATGTTTTTCCCAATGCAAGCAAGTACCTCAATGACTGCCCTGAGGTGGGAGCGGCTTATAGTACATAAGGGTGCTAAAACTTTTCCTAAGAACAGTGATGTGTTGTTGAAGGCTTTCATGGCTGGAATTACTGGGTTGCTGTGAGTTTTCCAGGCCCTACAATCATGTTCCAGAAGCATTTTCTCCTGACATTTTGTCCACAGCTATGGCAGGCATCCTCAGAGGTTGTGAGGTCTGTTGGAAACTAGGAAAGTGGGGTTTATATATCTGTGGAATGTCCAGGGTGGGAGAAAGCACTTGTCTGCTTGGAGCAACTGTTGTAATTGGCCACCTTGATTAGCACTGAATGGCCTTGCAGCTTCAAAGCCTGTCTGCTTCCTGCCTGGGGGACTCCTCTGCTAGGAGGTGTTAGCTGGTCTTAATGGCTTCAGGTCTGGAATTCCCCTGCTTTTTGAGTGTTGTTCTTTATTTACTGTCTGGCAGCCAGACTTTGCTCATTTCCATGGTTTCCTTCTTTCTGTTAAATTGTCCACATGCTTGTGGATTTCAATGGCTTCTCTGTGTAGTCTGACATGGTGGTTGTTAGAGTGGTCCAGCATTTATGTGTTTTCAAATAATATGCTGTACCCAGGTTGGTTCATCAAATGCTCTGCTATGGCTGACTTGATGAACATGTTATTTGAAAACACAAAAATGCTGGACCACTCCGACCACTCTTGCAGCTTTGAAGCTGCAAGGCTATTCAATGCTAATCAAGATGGCCAACTGCAACACTAACACTTGCCTCAAGCAGACAGGGTTCTGTCTCCCACCCTAGATATTCCACAGATATATAAACCTCCCTTGCTTAGTTTCCAACAGACCTCACAACCTCTGAGGATGCCGGTCATAGATGTGGGCAAAATGTCAGGAGAGAATGCTTCTGGAACATGGCCATACAGCCCGGAAAACTCACAGCAACCCAAGAATAACAACGCTTGCTTTCCAAAATGTTTGTAGAGTTCAAACAAGTTCAGCACACTCATTTTCCTACAATTCCTGGTAATAGTATGATAGCTGGGTCCGGAAGCTTGGAGTGTTATGCTGTTTCCACTTCGCTCCTGTGGGAGCACTGTTTGTGCAATGCAGAACGGAACACATGACCGAGACAGGAGGGTCGAGTGAGAGACAGAAGTACTGTAAGCCAGACCAGACATAGGTATTATAGAATGAATGTAAGAGTTCTTTAATGGTAAAACCCTAACCGTAACCCTACCTTACCCTAACCCTCCCCTCCTTTCTATCCTTCCACCAAATGCACACAGCTGAATAAAATCCCACATTTTCTGCTTTGAATTGGAATATATGGCAGTGTGGACTCGGGTAACCCAGTTCAAAGCAGATCTTGTGGGATTTTCTGCCTTGATATTCTGGGATATAGGGCTGTGTGGAAGAGCCCCGAGTCCACACTGCCATATAGTCCAGTTCAAAGTATATAATGTGGGATTTTATTGAGCTGTGTAGAAGTGGCCGAGGCAGGAAAAGACCTTGAAAAACTGTAACTCCCACGAGTCCAAAGCTGGAGCCATGGCGGTTACAAGTGTATCAATTCCACCGTGTGTGGTTGGTTGGTTGGTGAGCCCTTCCTCGGAGGCTCCTTTCTTTCTCCAGGATGCCACCTCCTCGGCGTGGAGATGACCCACCTCCTCCAAAATCCTCCTGGCTGCCTGGGAAGAGGCCAAGACGCCGGCGCTGAGGAGGCGGAGGCCGCCGGGGTCCCCGTCTCGTCTGCTATTCCCGGTGGGGGAGCCCCTTCCCGTCGTAGAAGCGGAATAGTCCCGCTCGGAGGCGAGGGGTTCCGCCATGAAGCGCCGGCGCGAAGAGGGACCTCGGAGAAGTGACCCAGGCGCCAGGCAACGCAGCAGCATCTCAGCGGCGGGAAAAGCGAAACTTAGGAGGGACTCGCCGCCTTGAAACAGCCGGGAATCGAAAGCGAGTCTTGCTTTCGCGGGCTGGCAAACAACCCAGCCAGGCGCGTCAAGAAACGAAACTGCCCCCGCCTTGATGCAACCACAGCCCGGCCCCGTCTCTCGCCAGGAAACCGCACAATAGACCAACGAAATAGAAACCCACAGGGATGGGAAAGGGAAACCTGAGGGAAGAGCTTTGTTTGGGGTTAGCACACCAAGGCCCCTTCCACACAGCTGTGTAAGAGCCGCATTGAACTGGCTTATCTGGCAGCGTAGACCCAGGGCCCTTCCACACAGCCCTATATCCCAGAAGGCAGAAAATCCCACAATAGCTGCTTTGAACTGGGCTATCTGAGTCCACACTACCATAATCCCAGGGCTCTTCCACACAACCTTATATCCCAGAATATCAAGGCAGAAAATCCCACAATGTCTGCTTTGAACTGGGTTATCTGAGTCCACCCTCAGATAAGGTGGGATTAATCTTCCATATAAATAAAAATGTAATGTTTGTGGGTTCAACATAACTAAAAAACCAATGGACGAATTGACACCAAATTTGGACACAATACACGGATCAGGCCAACAAGTGACCATCACTCAGAAAAACACTGAAAAACAATGCGGAAAAGACTTAAAAAGCCAAAAAATAAAATAACACACACACACATATATACACATATATGAGCCCCCATGGCACAGTGGGTTAAACCACTGAGCTGCTAAACTTGTTGACCAAAAAGTCACAGGTTCGAATATGGGGAGCAGCATGAGCTTCTGCTGTCAGCCCCAGCTTCTGCCAACCTAGCAGTTCGAAAACATGCAAATGTGAGTAGATCAATAGGTACTGCTCCAGTGGGAAGGTAACAACGCTCCATGCAGTCATGCTGGCCACATGATCTTAGAGGTCTCAATGGACAACGCCAGCTCTTCAGCTTAGAAATGGAGATAAGCACCAACCCCCAGAGTCGGACACAACTGGACTTAATGTCAGGGGAAAACTTTTACCTTTACTGTACACATATATATACACACAAAACACATACACAAACTGGGCCACAGCAACACATGGCAGGGGATGGCTAGTATTCTTAATATTCTGTGATATAGGGCTGTGTGGAATGGCCCTCAAATAACATGGTTCAAAGCAGATATTGTGGGTTATTCTGCCTTGCTATTCTGGGATATAGGGCTGTGTGGAAGAGCACCAAGGCCCCTTCCACAGCTGAATAAAATCCCACATTATTTGTTCTTGTTTTCTGAGTCAAGAGTGACTTGAGAAACTCTAAATTGCTTCTGGTGTGGGATAATTGGCTGGTCTGCATTGACTTTACCCAGGGGGTGGCCCGATTGTTTTGATGTTTTTTTTACCATCCTTGTGGCTTCTCTCATGTCCCTTCATGCAGAGCTGGAGCTGACAGAGAGAACCCAATCCCCTCTCTCTAGATTCGAACCACTGACCTCTCTCAGTCAGCAGTCCTGCCAGCACAAGAGTTTAGCCCATTGCTTCACTGGGGGCTCCATTATCTGCTTTGAACTGGGATATATGGGAGTGTGGACTCAGATAACCCAGTTCAAAGCAGATATTGTGGGATTTTCTGAGTTATATGGCTGTGTAGAAGGGCCCTGGGTTACACAATTTTTGTTCGTGGATTATAAATGTCATTTCCTAATTGGTTCTATCATAAAAACACAGAAAATTATTATTAAACTGCAAAAACTTTGGACATCCTGCAGCACATTTTGTTATACAGCCCAGAAACCATACAACTCTCCAGATGTTGTTCAGACTTCAAGTGCCAGCAGTCGTCTCCATTATGTATGTTGCCTAGGGGTGCTAGAAGTTGCAGTCCTCGGACTATTTGTTGGCACACCCGACTCCCAGTGGTGGGCAAGGACCACACAATTTTAAAACACCAACACTATGTGGTTATTTTGGATAAGGTGAAATATGAGATTTCGGGATTCAATATTCACTTATGCTATCTGGTAAAAGATCTGCTGTCTTCAAGATATATTGTATTTCTTTAAGATGCACTCCCCTGCATATAAACATCTCTAACAATGGGATGCATCTCAGGGCCCTTCCACACAGCCCTATATCCTAGAACAGAGGGCCAGGTCACAGTCCCTCAAACTGTTGGAGGACTGGATTCTAATTTGTAAAAAGCATGAATGAATTCCTATGCACACTGCACATATCTTATTTGTAGTGCAAAAAAAACCCCACATAAAAACAATACAATAATTAAAATGAAGTACCATTTTAACAAGTATAAACTCATTAGTATTTCAATGGGAAGTGTGGGCCTGCTTATGGCTGATGAGATAGGATTGTTGTTGTGTGCTTTCAAGTTATTTCAGACATAGGTTGACCCTGAGCGAGGGCCGGGTAAATTACCTTGGAGGGCTGTATCCGGCCCCTGAGCCATAGTTTGAGGACCCCTGTCCTAGAATATCAAGGCAGAAAATCCCTCATTACCACACAGCCCTATATCCCAGAATAACAAGGTTGAAAATCCCACAATATCTGCTTCGAACTGGGTTATCTGAGTCCACACTCAGATAATGTGGGATTTTCTGCCTTGATATTCTGGGATATAGGGCTGTGTGGAAGGACCCAGAGTCCACACTTGCATATAACCCAGTTCAAAGCAGATATTGTGGAATTTTATTCAGCCGTGTGAAAGGGGCCTCTGTGAGGAAGCAATTCTATACATGCTCAGAGACATGTATAGAATCAAGATGAGTCACTGGGCCAGTGGCATTTAAGTGCTTAACCAGGTATCATTTCATCAAGGTTGGGGCATATCCCTAGCCCCCCCCCCCCAACACTGGGCATGGTAAACCAAAAGGGAAATCCATTTAATAATCTTGATGGCTCATTCACAAGAACAACGAAATGAGTCACAGCAGTGAGGAAATAATATCAGAGAATGACATTGCCCAGTCAGCCATGAAAAGGAGTAAGAATGACTTTGACAAATTAGGTATTGAAAACAAATAGAACACAAATCCTAAACTTGGCATGCGTCTAATAAAATATCCTTCCAGCTTATTTAGTCTAGGAATCCTATGTTCCACTGTTGATGTTTGCCTATCATTGTGGAAGGAGATTCAGAAGGGTTTATAATGGCCTAGTTAATACAGTGAATTAAGAATCTTCTTGCTTTCAACCTACCCAGAAAGCTAAATACCTTGTAATACTACAAGTCCCAGCATTCTATAGCATAGCAGGTTAAGTATTATTATTGTTATAAATAAACATAATAATAATAATAGCTGTTGTACTAGTAGCCGGTGGCGCAGTGGGTTAAAACGCTGAGCTGCTGAGCTTGTTGACTGAAAGGTTGTAGGTTCGATTCCGGGGAGTGACATGAGCTTCCGCTATCAGCCCTAGCTTCTGCCAACCTAGCAGTTCGAAAACATGCAAATGTGAGTAGATCAATAGGTACTGCTCTGGCGGGAAGGTAACGGCACTCCATGCAGTCATGCTGGCCACATGACCGTGGAGGTGTCTATGAACAATGCCAGCTCTTTGGCTTAGAAATGGAGATGAGCATGACTGGACTTAATGTCAGGGGACAACCTTTACCTAGTAGTTCTAAGCTGCATTCATTTTACAATGTAGATGTACCCTGTGAGAGAACTGGGTTCAAATCCTTGCTCACCCACTGAGCAAGCCACATTCTCTCAGCCTCAGCAATAGAACAACCTGCTTTCAATAACACTTGAGAAGAAAACCCCTTCATAGTCATACATCAGAATCAACTCGAAGGCAACAATAATGCATTCAGTGAGAGGAGCCTCTTAACAGGGTTCCCCAAACTAAGACCTGTGAGGCAGATGTGGCCCTCCAAGGATCTTTACTTCACCCCACCCTAAATATATAGACTTAGTTCTAATTATTCTCATCAACCAAAAGCAGGTCCGCACTTCCCATTAAAATACTGGTAAGTTTATGTTGGTTAAAATTGTGATTTTAAATAATCTATAGTTCTTTTATGGTTTTTTTTTTTTTGCACTACAAATAAGATCTCTGCAATGTGTAAAGGCATCGATTCATTTTTTTTTTCAAACTATAGTCCAGCCCCCAACAGTCTGCTGTGAGCTTTCCGGGTTGCATGGCCATGTTCCAGAAGCATTCTCTTCTGACATTTCGTCCACATCTATGGTAGGAATCCTCAGAGATTGAGGGATCTGCTGGAAACTAGGCAAGTGGGGTTTATATATCTGTGCAATAATATGCAGGGTGGGAGAAAGAACTTTTGTCTTTTGAGGCAAGAGTGAATGTTGCAATTGGCCACCTTAATTAGCATTGAATGGCCTGGCGGCTTCCTGCTGGGGGATCTTTTGCTGGAAGGTGTTAGCTGGCCCTGATTGTTTCCTGCCTGGAATTCCCCTACTCTTAACAACCACTGTGTCAGACTACACAGAGAAGCCATTGAAATCCACAAGCATGGGGACAATTTCAACAGATAGAAGGAAACCATGAAAATGAACAAAATCTGGCTATCAGTATTTTAAAAACTCTAAAATCAGGACATTAAGCAAAGAACAACACTCAGAAAATAGGAATTCCAGACAGGAAACAATCAGGGCCAGCTAACGCTTTCCAAAAAAGGATTCCTCGAGGCAGGAAGCAGCCAGGCTTTGAAGTTGCAAGGCCATTCAATGTTAATGAAGGTGACCAATCGCAACATTCACACCTGCCCCAAGCAGACAAGAGTTCTTTCTCCCATCCTGGACATTCAACAGGTATATAAACTCCACTTGCCTGGTTTCCAGCAGATCCCTCAACCTCTGAGGATACCTACCATACTTACTTTACTTAGGCGATCACTCGTAGCTTGAGGATGATTGTCTCCTAGATGTGGTGTCTTGGCAATGGGTTCATAGGTGGCTGTGGAGCCCTATTCTTGATCCGCATGTTCTCCTGCAGTGAGGATATCAGTTTCCAGATGGAAGGCGGCCTCGGTCAGGTTGGCTTGACATGCCTTCCTCTTGGCACTTTTCTCCCTTTCACCCTCTCTCTGTGCCTCTTTAAATTCTACAGCACTGCTGGTCACAGCTGACCTCCAGCTACAGCACTCAAGGGCCAGGGCCATAGATGTGGATGAAACGTCAGGAGAGACTGAGAGGAGACATGATGAGGGCCATGTATAAATATGTGAGGGGAAGTCATAGGGAGGAGGGGGCATGCTTGTTTTCTGCTGCCCTGGAGACTAGGATGTGGAACAATGGCTTCAAGCTACAGGAAAGGAGATTCGGTAATAGTATGATAGCTGGGTCCGGAAGCTCCGAACATTACGGAGGTGCCGCATCGCTCCTTTGGGAGCACTGTTTGAGCAAGAGAGTCTTAGCTAATGTAAGCCAGGCCGGAGAGAGATAATATAGAAGGAATGTAAGAGTTCTTTAATGGTGAAACCCTAACCTTTACCCTAACCCTGAACTGTACCGTAAGCCTAAGCCTAACCCCTTACCCTAACACAAACCCTAAACATTACCTTTACCCTTATGCTAACCCGAATCCAAACTAAACCTTACTCTAACCCAACCCTTAAGCGTACCCTTACCCTAACCATAACCATAACCCAAACCCTAAACCTTGCCCTAACCATTACCCTAAGTGTCCCCTCCTTTCTATCCTTCCTTTGCTCTCCCCACTCTCCCTCCACCCCCCTCTTCCCTTATTCACAGCCGCCTTTGTGGTATCTCCATAACACTCAGAGCTTCTGGACCCAGCTATCACTATCATCAGGGATTCCGCAACAACATGAGGAAGAATTTCAGAGCTGTTTAGCAGTGGAACTCTCTGCCCCGGTGTGTGGTGGAGGCTCCTTCTTTGGATTTCAACCTGCAACCTTTCGACCAGCAAGTTCAGCAGCTCAGTGGTTTAACCCACTGCTCCCCCAGGGACGTGCGGGTGTGGAGAGCAAACCACATACCACTTAGTACAATGCGGCCTGCGCCCCGCCACATGCACAATGGAGGACCTCCTTACAGTGACCAGAGGCACTCCAAGTGGAAAAGTAATGCCTCCACATTCGTAACTCCTCAACAGATGGCAGTATTGGTATGCGGTATGTACTGGCTTGTTTAGTAGACTCTCCTCTATAGTTCCATCTTGGCGGGAAGCCTTAGCATTGAACGGTTGTGTTGTTAAAGTGCGAAGTATGGAACCCTGCGCAGACGGTCGGTCAATGCGACTTAAGCAACGTGCAGTCATTGAATTCCTGACAGCAGAAGGTGTCACCCCAAAGGGAATGCAAGCTGTTTGTGGTGATTGTGTTGATGTGAGTACTGTACGTCATTGGGCGAGTAAGTTTAAAGATGTTGAGGCGGGAACATCTGACTTGCATGACAAACAAAGAGTTGGACGTCCTGTGACAGTAACCACTGAGTTTTACAAGCAGCAGGTTGGCAGATTGATTCAGGATGATCGTTGTATAACTCAGAGAGAAATTTCAAGCATATTAGGCATTTCACAAGAACGTGTGGGTCACATTATTGCTTTGCTTGGCTATCAGAAGATCTGTGCACGATGGGTTGCGGAAACAGAGTGTCAACTTCTTCCGTGATGGCTTCTCGTTGGCAGAAAGGTATCCAATTGTCTGGTGATTATGTGGAAAAGTGAATAGTGGTAGTTAAAGAGCACATTCTAAGGATTATTTCTGCGTTTGATTTATTAAAATATTCCCATCCAAACCTAAGTAACGAAGGTGGAGGCATTACTTTTCATTCAACCCTTGTAGTACATATGATGCTAAGTTTTTTACACTTTGTGTTTCTTTGAATACATTACAACTGTTTAAGGAGCTCCACTGGCTGCCGTTTATTTTCCGGTCCCAATTCAAGGTGCAGGTTCTTACCCTGCCTACCTGTGTGACTGCATTTCTATGTACGAACCCACATGATCTCTTCGATCATCTGGAGAGGCCCTGCTCATGCTCCCACCTCCTTCGCAGGCGCGATTGGTGGGGACGAGGGAGAGGGCCTTCTCAGTAGTGGCCCCCTGACTCTGGAACTCACTTCCCAGGGGCATCAGACATGCCCCAACATTGGCAGTCTTTAGGAGAAGCCTGAAAACGTGGATGTTCCAGTGTGCCTTCCCAGAATAAGGAGAACTCTTAGCAATATGCCCTCATAATGCACTTTCATACTGACTTAGTATGGACTGCGTTCCCTCATTTCTCTCTGAAAAATCCTATCCCAGTGATATTCTACCTTGTTCACGTCAGCATATTTTCAATTTTTATCTATTACATTCGGCCAGGCCATTTTTTAAAATTGTTATATGTCACCATTGATTGATTGTGTTTATGTGATTTATATGATGTGTATTTCAATGGTTGTTTATTGATGTTGTGTTTATTGATGTTTTGTTTGAGGTACTTTGGGCTTGGCCTCATGTAAGCCGCACCGAGTCCCTTGGGGAGATGGTAGCGGGGTACAAATAAAGATTATTATTATTATTATTATTATTATTATTATTATTATTATTATTAATTATCCTTGGTTCGCTTCTGATACGGTTTAAAGAAAGCTCCATGGGCGGGCAAGAGTTTTCAGAGGGAAAGGGGTCTCCATTGAAGCATGTTTACATAAGCCTCTCCTTGGGTCCCCAGCTGGGGAAGAGGAAACCGAAACTGGGCTGTTCCTCTTCCCCCTCCCCCTCCTCCTCCTCCTCCTCCTCCTCCTCCTCCCTGGGCGAGGGTCACATGCGTTACCAAGACGCCTGCCTCAAAAGGCCTTGGGCCACTCCACCCAGGGACAGCTCCTCTTGAGTCGCACCTGAGGACGCCGCGATGTTAGCCCCTCCGCTCTGCCTCCTGCGCCTTGCCCTGGCCGCCTTCTGGAGCCGCTACCTGGCGCCCACCTGCCTCTGGCTCTTCGCCTTCCCATGGCTCCCCTCCTCGAATGCCGACCCCACCAAAGCCACGCCTGAGGACAGCTCCACCACCACCACGCCGCCGCCTCCTCTGGTGCCGCTGAGCGTGAATTACCACTTCACCCGGCAATGCAACTACCGGTGCGGCTTCTGCTTCCACACGGCCAAGACCTCCTTCGTGTTGCCTCTGGAGGAAGCCCAGAGGGGGCTCCGATTGCTCAAGGAGGCCGGTGAGGGAGAGGAGGGGGTTGGGCTCGGGCTCTCAATGCTAGGGGGTCCTGGGAGGGGTAGTTTGGCAAGGTCTGTCGCCTTCTCTGTCCAAGGGGGCTGGGACAGCACCAGAGCGGGGCTTCTCGAATGCAGGCATGGGCAAACTTGGGCCCTCCAGGTGTTTTGGACTTCAACTCCTACAATTCCTAACAGCCGGTAGGGAGTTGAATTGTGGGAGTTGAAGTCCAAAACACCTGGAGGGCCCAAGTTTGCCCATGCCTGATCTAATGAGTGAACAAGATTGGTTCTGTAGGTTTGTTCTTAAGTTGCATTTGTAACTTAGTTGCATTTGTAACTTTTAAAATTGTAACTACAGCCAAATCTATGGCTGGATAGATAGATATTGATATACAGTATTGATATATAGATCATACACACACACACACACAACCCACTAGTTGCTGTAGCCAACCTTTCCTCCCCCTTTCTCTCCTCCTTTCTTTCCTTCCTTCCTTCCTTCCTTCCTTCCTTTTTTCTCTCTTTCTCTCCTTCCTTTCTTCCTTCTTTCCTTCCTTCCTTTTTTCTTTCTTTCTCTCCTTCCTTCCTTCCTTTTATTATTTCATTCTCTCCTTCCTTTTCTTCCTCTTCCCTTCCTTCCCCTGTTTTCTTTCCCTTCCCCTTTCTCCCCTTCTTCCTTCTCTACCTATTCTTGGACTGCAACTCCCAGTGTTCCTCCTGAACAATCTATCTACCTATCTATGTATCTCTACCTAATCTATCTATCTTATCTATCTGGAGGATTGCTGGGAGTTGCAGTCCAGGAATTGGAAATTGGAAATATGCAGGGATTGGGATGCTTTCAAAGAAATCCAAGGAGAGGCAAGCTAGCATCTTGGAAGCAGTGCATTTGGATCATCCTCCTCTCCTAAAGGGCCTGGTTTAGGGGATGCTGGGAGCTGTCGTCCAGAAGAGAGTGTGGATATGCTATTGTGTGTTTTGTTTGCCAGGGAGAGTCATTTCGTGCATGCTCTGTCACATCTTTTTGCTTTATTTTTTTTCCTTTTTAAGTCCCTTCCACTGCATTTTTCATTGTTTTGGTGAGTAATGGTCACTCGTTGGCCTGATAGGTGCATTGTGTCCAAATTTCGTGTCAGTTTGCCCAGTGGTTTTTGAGTTATGTTAATCCCACAAACAAGCATATTTTTATTTATATAGATAGATCAAACATAGATAGATCATACAGATAGATAGATATTGATGTACAGATATTGATATACAGTATCAATAAATAAATACAGTAGAGTCTCACTTATCCAACATAAGCGGGCCGGCAGAATGTTGGATAAGCGAAAATGTTGGATAATAAGGAGGGATTCAGGAAAAGCCTATTCAACGTCAAATTAAGTTATGATTTCACAAATTAAGCATCAAAACATCATGTTTTACAACAAATCAACAGGAAAAGTAGTTCAATACACAGTAATGTTATGTAGTAATTACTGTATTTATGAATTTAGCACCAAAACATTGCAATGTATTGAAACAGCTATGGATTTGAGCAGGAGGACTGTGTTGGATAATCCAGAACATTGGATGATTGAAGGTTGGATAAGCGAGACTACTGTATTCAATTTGGATTGCATAGGATTGCAACACCTCCAGTGTTGGTTTTGTTGTCTGTGTCCCTGTTCAGGAGATTTCACCTCACTTTCTAATAATATAATATATTGCATATACATATAATATTGATAATAATATTATAATGTAATACAATACTAAGAATAATACAATATGATAATTATATATTACATGTAATATCGCTAATAATATTGCAGTATAGTGGTGGCACAGCAGGTTAAACCACTGAGCTGCTGAACTTGCTGACCGAAAGGTTGACAGTTCAAATCTAGGGAATGGGGTGAGCACCCGCTGTTAGGCTCAGACCTTGATTCCATGTATTTATTAGGAGACGCAAATGATGTATGCTTTTATTATTCCTGTTATGGTTTTATATTATGTGTTAATGTTTTTAAATGTTTTATGGTGTTCTTGGGCATCAAATTGTTGCCATTGTAAACCGCCCTGAGTCGCCTAAGGGCTGAGAAGGGCTATACTACTATACTATTATTATTTACTACTATAGTAAATAAATAAATTGAGCCACTGCAATTAAACTGGTGCCAATCTGCATTCATTCTACAGTGTAGACACATCCTCAGGCAAAAGCACATGGCTGCAATTTCTCCTGCATTTTGTGATCCTCATTAATGATCACACAATTTGATGCAGCTTGGCCAAACATCCTTGGATTTTTTATCTGTGAAATGTTGGAGGACATGGGGTTGGGACCTGCTCCACTTTTGCCTGTGATAAGAGGACATAGCCGAGGTCATTTGCAGAGGGAGAGAGAGATTGTTCATTCAATATCTTCACTATACCTCTTTCTGGAAACATGGCATAAACAGGGTGTGCATCTACCCTCTGGTATTAATGCAGTTTTGACACTACTTTAACTCCCCTGGCTCTGTGCTGTAGAATCCTGGGAGTCGTAGTTTGATAGGGCACCAACACTGTCTTGCAGAGAAGGCTAAAGACCTCATAAAATGACAAAGTAATGTCAAATTGCATCAATTCAACAGTGTATGTACCCAGAATTGGGAAAAGTTAATAATAATAATCACCATCATCGTCATTATTTATATACTACCCTATTTCCCTAAATGGACTCAGGACAGTTTCCAATAAAAGTGACAAACATTCAGTGCCAGAAAACACTTAATAGAGAGAAGTTACCTTTTTTCTTAACTGAATTTTATGGAGTTAGAGTAGATTTTGTCTTTGCTTAGTGTATGGCACCTGTTCCTGGCAATTTTTCCACCAAGTGCAGCTTCCCTTTAATTTTCTCAAACTGGAGTTCATTTCCCCATGGTTCTTCCTTGAATGCATCTGTAGTTCTTTCATCTCTTTTATATATAGTAGTTCTTCTGCATACTGTTGCATTGTCTTTCTATTTGGTCATGTAATGTGTTTGTTGGTCATAGAACTTCCTTACTCTTAGTTTAAATTTCCCTTTGTTTTCTCTGATCTTGTGAAAGAGAGCGCTTGTTCTTCAGTTTTTCTGCATTGATTATGATAATAGTAGTCTTTGTTCCTATGCCCAGCTCACTGAACCGTTACATCTGCGACTTTGGCTCTATTTCTGTCACTTTTTACTTTCGCTTCTTGTTTGTTTCATCTATTGCTTCTTTTTCTTTTTAGGGTTCCCCCCCATTTTGCCCTGACAATATCCCCGGCTTCAGTCCAGAGTTCTTTTAGCTCCCAATCATTTAGGCCTAATTAGGTTCAATAGTATAAATCTATTTCTACATTATTTTAAGTTCTAAAGGGATGTTTTCTTTATCATGGCTCTTTAAGGTCACTTTCTGATTTTTCTTCTTTACTGTCCTGACCTAAAGTATAACTTCATGTATATATGCATGTTTGAAAATATATTTCACTTACTTTCTCTCTCTCTGTCTCTCTTGGACACATTCTAGGTATGGAGAAAATAAATTTTTCAGGAGGAGAACCATTTCTCCATGAGAGAGGCAACTTTGTTGGGAAGCTGGTTCGGTTTTGCAAACAGGAGCTGAAACTGCCAAGTGTTAGCATTGTCAGCAATGGCAGCATGATTAAAGAAAGGTGGTTTAAACATTATGGTAAGAAAACCAAGATTTAGATGCTGCCTTCTCTCACTCTTTCATCTATAACAAAAATGGGAAAACACAGTTCTCCAGTTTCATTGGGCCTGTTCTGCAACCCTTGATATGTAGTGTTGAAAGTTACAGGCCCATGAATACCAACCGCTTACTGTAATGTGTTTATTGACCTGAGTCATTATTTGGGGAAGGAACACAAACTTGGATACATAAATGAGTGGAATGGAGTATCCTGAGACATGACTGACTGGCTAGCAACGACTTAAAACAAGAAGTATAATCATTCCTCCATATCCACAGATTTAACCATCAATGGTTTGGAAATATTCAAAGAGTGTTCCAAAAAAATAATGTTTGATTTTATATGTGGCACACCTTCTTTCTACACCATTGTATATAATGGGACCTGAACATTGACAGATTTTGATATCATCAGGGGATCTGGAACCAAACACCCAATGCATGCCAGGGTCCCACTATAAACATGACAACTTACCCACATATTAATCATTCTAATTGGCAATATTTTGGTTACATAAGGGCAAACCAGTGTGGTATAGTGTTCTGAGTTTTGGACTAGAATGATCAGAATTCTGGAAGAAGGATTCGAATCTCCTTGTAGCCATTGAAACCTCCTGAGTGACCTTGGGCAAGTCATCCTCGCTCAGAGGAAGGCAGTGACAAAAATCTGACCAAATCTCTCCAGGAAACATCCATGATAGGTTCACCTTTGGATCACCATAAAATGGAAATGACTTGAAGGCACACAACAGTGAGGATACACAGACATTGGAGTTGGGGACTTTCAGCAGACATGGGGAAACATGAATAGCAAATAAACAAATCCTGGATAACCCAATCATGGATTGTCTGAAACATTAGCTTTCAGTTTCCATCATTTATTGCCATTAGTTATAATGACTAAGGCTGATGGGAGCTGGATTTTGCTGATCTCTAGAGAACCACTGGTCAGGTATCTATCTCTGGGATGTTCAAGAAATCACAAGAATGTCTTTCCATGATAAAGGACTACTCTCTGTTTGGTAATCCTAGTTAAAATGTTGTATTTTTAGATTTTGAAGCAGTAAATTCTACCTTCCGAGATAGTAAGATAATATACAGAAATGACACAGATCTATGAAGATGAGCCTGTGCTTGTGGTTGAGTAAAACTGGAGCAATGGTGAGCAATTGGTGCTGAACACTAATGAATTCTCCTCATTTCAGGGGAATACCTTGACATTCTTGCAGTGTCTTGTGACAGCTTCTTTGAGGAAGTCAATGTTTTGATTGGCCGTGGGCAAAGAGGGAAAAACCACATTGAAAATCTTCATAAATTGAAGCAGTGGTGCCAACGTTATGGGGTGGCATTCAAGATCAACTCTGTGATTAACCGGTTTAATATGGAGGAAGATATGAACGAGCAGATCAAAGCTCTCAATCCTGTCCGCTGGAAGGTAAGAACCTTTCCTTGTGCAAAATATGTGAACTGTCCAGTTAGTTGTGCACTGGATCTTTTGCATTTAATGTTTTAGAACAATAGTTCTCAACCTTTGGTCTTCCAGGTGCTCAGACTTCAGCTGTCACAATTCCTAATAGCTGATAAGATGGCTGGGATTTCTGGGAGTTGGAAGTCCAAAACACCTAGAGTTGAGAACCATTGTTTTAGAACATAGAAGCTAGTGACTTTTCTTATATGATTACTAGAATTATTCAAAGTGGTTGAGCTTCAGTTCTTCCCTGATATATTGTTAAACCACATACTTCATTAAAGCATCACCACTGCAGCCATTTTACAGTAATGTAAGCCAGAATTGATTTGGTCATCCATTTCTATACTGTTCTTCCTTCATGAGAATGAAGATAGATTAAGAGGTATGGGGTTCTGCTACATCTCCTATGTGACTTTTCAGAGCATGTTATGAAGTGATATCATTGTGTCATATCTTTCCCCTTCCTATCTCATATAACCAGGACCTGTAATGTCATACAGCAGGGTTGGGCAAAGTCCAGTCTTCTATATATGGCTGGATGGCAGTTCCCATCAGCCATGTTGGGAGTCAAAAGTTTGATAATACTTGGAAGGCTGCACTTTGTCCTCCCAGCCAGAACTGTATGATTAGTGCAAAATGTCTAACCTGGAAAGAATTATATCGGATCCCATACACTTTACTTTGGATTTGTTGTCTTTAGTTTAGTTGGTAGTTGCAATGACCCCTTATATAACCTTGGACATTTTGGAAGACCAATTTGAGTGACTTCCTGCCATGTTTCAGTGCGGTCAACTCTTTACACTGACTGCAAATGGAAGCCCTGGCAAAAATGTGGAAATATAGAGATCCAGAACACTTAATTTGCAACTTTGTAAAGACCTCCCCATATGATCTCAAAACTGTGTTTTGCATCCATGGGATTTTTAATTCTTAATTTTCAAAATGAGAAAATTAAGAATTAAAAATCCCATGGATGCAAAACACAGTGTTGAGATCATATGGGGAGGTCTTTACAAAGTTGCACATTAGGGAACAATTGTAACATGTGTTATTTTATGCTCAGAAGAGGCTTTAATTTTAATTTTAGGCTATAGTTCCCAGAATCCAGTTGTTAGCATAGCTACTAAATCCTGGAAAATGTTCTAAAAGTACTACTGCATTTCTTCAGTTCTGAGACATACTTTTCGCTATATAAATGTCTCTAAAATTGGATGTGTCTTAGAATCGCAGGTGTATCTTATGTATTTTTGGTGGTGATATTGAAATTAAGGTGTGTCTTATAATTGATGGTGTCTTGCAGTTGAAGAAATACAGTATTTCTAGACTTCACTTCTGGCATACTGGCAGGGAGAACTGTGTATCTCACAATGTCCTTAGTTTCCAATAGGTGGCAGTAAAATTGTTAAAATATTCTGAAAAGTCCTTTTTGCTTCCATGCTAGGAATACGCAAACAAAATTTGTGCAATATTCATCCCAAACACATGGCTTATGTGTATAAATATTAGCACTTAATGATCCTTCCTATAAAATCATCACAGTTCCATATTTGAATTTATTTATTGCTTATTTACGATATTTATAGCCCGCCTTTCTCAACCATATAGAGACTCAAGGCGCGTTACAGGTTGGCATAATTTGATGCCACACATTCATAAAAGTGCAATTAATACCATCAACATAACAATATAAAAATCATTTAAAACTTTGAAGTGTTCTGTATCTCATTTTTTTCCTAACTTTTACTTTCGGCTCCGTTTGCAGCCATTGTAGATAAGATTTTGCAGAGATTGAAACATTACTGAAAGCAGCAGGAAGTGATTCAAACTGGTCTCCCAAAATGTCTGGAATGATTAGAGCTGAAGGTTTTGCTTTTTCTTTTGATTAACCAGTTAGATAACCAATTACTCTGTTTCAAATATTTTGATCAGCTAAAAATATTGCAGTAGAAGCAGTGGTACAGGCGGAAAGCGGGGCTTGTTGGGCAAAAACATTGAAAGACATAGCTATATGTTCCATGTTATTATAGCCATGCTGGCTGGGGGATTCTGGGAGTTGAAGTCCAGGAATTCACTCTTCAAGCTTTGGGCATGGAAGGGAGCATTGTGGCTTTGTTCTGGGCCATACAATATGTCTTAGGCCAAAAGTGCCATGTAGAGAAACTCTACCTTCTCTGTAATACATAAGAAAAAATTCCCTGTGTGAATTCAATACAGACAACAAAATGCAAATTCACTGCCAAAAAATATAGTGTGATTCTTGATTCCGGAGGTTTTTTGAAAAACGGAAGCTCAGATAATTCATCAGCTAAATCCACACTAGTTATTGGTGAATTTATTCCTGGTCTTTCAGGCAAGATTTAAAGGAGCAATCCAAAGTCTTGAGAACCATCTCCTATGAATTGGTCCAGCAGCTCGAAAAGCTCATTTAAAATTCAGATTCACTACCCAAAGGACATGGGAGACAGCAGCCACTACTACTGGATAGAAGAGGATATGAAATTACAAGCTCTGAAAAGCCACTTTTGTCATCTGCCAAGGGAAGCAAAGATTCCTGCTTAAAACAAAGGATTGATGAAACCAAATTCTGCTCAAACAACTGGCAAGGAATACTAAATAGGCACAGTGGTTCTCAACCTGTGGGTCTCCAGGTGTTTTGGCCTACAACTCCCAGAAATCCCAGCCAGTTTACCAGCTGTTAGGATTTCTGGGAGTTGAAGGCCAAAACATCTCAGGACCCACAGGTTGAGAACCACTGAAATAGGGGATAGCATGGTGTTTCAGAAATTGCTGTAGGGGAATACATTTTCATACAGCTGCACCTGGATGGCCAATACATTATCACAACATTAGGGATGTATCCGTCTTTAAACTGCCATAGGGCACCTTGGGTTACAAGGTCTCTAACCTTTTCTCCCAAAGAGTGCTGGAGCCTCAACAAACTAGGATTCTATCTCATTATTATTTTTTTGTCGTGTCAGGAGTGACTTGAGAGTGTCAGGAGTGTCAGCAGTTGCAAGTCGCTTCCGGTGTGAGAGAATTGGCTGCCTGCAAGGATGTTGCCCAGGGGACGCCCAGATGATTTGATGTTTTTATCATCCTTGTGGGAGGCTTCTCTCATGTCCCTGCATGAGGAGCTGGAGCTGATAGAGGGAGCTCATCCGTCTCTCCCCGGATTTGAACCTGCGACCTGTCGGTCTTCAGTCCTGACGGCACAGGGGTTTAACCCACTGCGCCACCGGGAGCTCCATTTCTATCTCATTAAGCCATGGACATTAAAGTGGCGTCAAACTGCATTACTTATACAGGGTAGATGCACCCCTGGTGGCTTTTTGGAGAAAAATGTTATTTTTAGAAAATCCATGTACAATTATTATTATTATTATTATTATTATTATTATTATTATTATTATTATTTTGGTAATGGAACTAGTGATTCTATCACTACTTTGGAGAAAAAAACTCAATGGGTGTGTCCTCTTGTGCCTGACATCTTTGCACTAGTGAGTTTCCAATAACAAGAGTGTGGCTATCCCAATGCTGTTTTCCTTCATGAAAAAAACAGCCTGACACTTCCTCCATCAACGTTATTGTTTGTTATGGTAGCTGTGAGAGGCAGACATCCTCTCTGACTCATGCCACTTGATGTCTCTTAGGTGTTTCAGTGTCTTCTGATTGAAGGAGAAAACTCAGGGGAGGATGCTCTGAGAGAAGCAGAAAGGTTTGTCATCAGTGATGAAGATTTTGAACAATTCCTTAAGCGTCATAAAGGTGTCTCGTGCTTAGTGCCTGAATCTAACCAAAAGGTAAAGTTATAATGACTACTGTTCATATATCCTGAAAGCAAGATATTTTATCAGAGTACTAGAAACTCAATTGCTAATTGTGTTGTTGAAGGTTTTCATGGCCAGAATCACTGGGTTGCTGTGAGTTTTCTGGACTGTATGGCCATGTTCCAGAAGCATTCTCTCCTAATGTTTCACACATCTATGGCAGGCATCCTCAGAAGTTGTGAGGTCTGTTGGAGACTAGGCAAGTGAGGTTGCCTCTAACAGACAAGAGTTCTTTCTCCCACCCTGGATATTCCACAGATATATAAACCCCACTTGCCTAGTCTCCAATAAACTTCACAACCTCTGAAGATGCCTGCCATAGATGTGAGCGAAACATCAGGAGAATGCTTCTAGAACATGGCCATATAGCCTGGAAAACTCACAGCAACTCAATTGCTAATTATTTTGTTAGCATTCTGAAACATGCTTGCTAAGAACAACAACTGGGTTTCTTATTGTTTGTGGGGGTTTTTTTTTTGCAAAACTTTTTATGGGCAGGAAAAGGTATTTGACAGAATCGTTGCTAGTTTTCTTTGTGTGCTTGTGAGAACTCTTCATATGGATATCTATTTCAATATTTGTGTTTTATGGGTTTTTAATCGTGCTGTCTTTAAGGTTGTGGCAAACTGCATTAATTCTACAGTGTAGATCAGGCCTGCACAACTTGTGGCCCTCCAGGTGTTTTGAATTTCAGCTCCCAGAGTTCCTGAGAATTGGACAAGCAGGCTAGGGCTTCTAGTAGTTGGAGTCCCAAACACCTAAATGGCCACAGATTGTGCAGGCCTGGTGTAGATGCATCTGAGGACTCTGGAAAACCCCTGTTGACATCCCTACTCAACTTCAAAGACCTTGGGCAAATCAGACTATCTTATCTTCAAAAGAAGACCATGAAAAATCCTTCTTAACAAATTTTGCCAAGAAAATCGTGTGATAAGGCCACTTCAGGATAGCCATTAGCAGACATGTAGCCGGGGGGGGGGGTTCTCATGGTGGGTCGCGAAAAGGCCTTACTGGTGCATTATTTAAACTGTTATGTTTATTCATATCATGATCTGATCACCATACTCAATATATCCCATATGCATGGGGGTATTGGGGTAATGATACAAAGGGTTTGCTAGGCTAGACCCTCTTTCACTCAGACTCAGCCCCCCCCCCCGAAACTCAGCCCCCCAAAAAAATTCAGCCCCCCCCCCAAAAGAAATCCTGGCTACGAGCCTGGCCATTAGTGAGAAAGGACTTTAAAACCTGCAACAAAAAAGTAATGGGCATGAGGTATAAAATTCAGTATTGTTGTTGTGTGTCTTCAATTCATTTTCAACCTGTGATAACCCTAAAGCAAACCAATAAGGGTGTTTTATTGGCAAGATTTGTTCATAGGGGGTTGGCTTTTGTCTTCCTCTGAAGCTGAGAGTGTGATTTGCTTGACATCACCCAGTGGATTTCTACAGTCAAGGGTGGCTTTGAGTCTGGTCTCCAAAGCTGTAGTCCAACACTCAGACCCTTACATTCTGTGCTGGGTATCACAGAATGAAATATATTGGAAGTGTATTTTTATATTTTTTAAAAATTTGATTTCTAGCCCTTGTGGCATGCAGATGAGTGCTACCTTCTATCTGTCATTTCTATTACATTATATAAGAAAGTAAAACATAAAAATAAAAGCTATACCAGTCTCTTAAAATGAGCCATTATTAGTCATAATCATGCTTTTAATATCAAGAACACATAGTTGTCATTAAATAATGTAATTATTCATCTTCTTTTAACAGATGAAAGATTCATACTTAATTCTGGATGAATATGTAAGTATTTTTATACTGTTAATACATTCACCCCATAACCACAATTAGAAAAATATGACTTTATTTATGAACAAAGGACTTTGTTTGAAACTTTTCCCTAGGGAAACAGACAGCCAACCCCTGCTTGATTCAAACCAAGTCTCACCGAAATCAATATGGTGTATTTCTAATTCAATATTAAATATCTAATAAAATATTTTTTGCCCCATATCTACAGAACTAGTATTGGTGGTTTCCTTGATCAACATCCTAGTTACATGATCGTTATAATTCCAGTTATATGTCCAATAGTACTTTAAATAGCACCATGATGGCCCAACTGTATCCTGCATACCATGTGTTCAGTCCGAACTACGTAACCCTAACTGGAGGGAACCTCTGTGGAGGATGAGCTGTTAAGTTTGCAAAGATAATACAGCACAATATTGAAGGAACAAATTTCCCCTTTGATTGATTAATGGGTTGGTTACCTTCCATCCTATGGATAAAAGACCCTTTTCTGTTGTTCTGCTTCTTGGGATTGCTTATAGTGCTAGTATTGTGCTGTTTACCTATTTACCTATTATTGTTAAATTCCTTCAAAATACTGTCAGGAAGATCAAACAGACATTTTTACCTACATGGTGCCGTTTGAGACCGTAGGAGACACCATGTGATCAGGAAATCTATAGTATGTTCTTTTTTTTGCCTGCTTTAGAGAAAAGTTACTTTCTGGTCACAACATCTCACATGATCTTTCTGTACCAATAAGATATGTAGTGCCTTAATAATTCTTGAATGTAAGCCAATGGTATAAATGTGTTGTATGGACGGGCCACAAGGTCTTTGGGAATTTGTGTTGGAATGATCCATCTGAAGTCCCAGCTGAACAAACCTGTATTCTTTTTCTACTTCAGAGAAAGGCCTGGTGTTTTTCCTAAAAATGTACCATAGCACAACAAAGAGGTCCTTTCTAGGCATTTTCTGGGTCCTTTGGCAGGGTTTTTCAAAATAATATAATTTATAATAATTCATGAGACATTTCCAAACACCTTTGAACTCCTGTTATACAGCTTTTAAAAAGATATGAAACAAATTTGACTTCGGTCCAAATGTTGGTTCATTATTCTCATACACAAGTTTACCTGCATTCCTTGGATTCATGCTGATCTTTTTGTTTATGATTTAAATGATATACCAGTAACCTCAAATGATTCAGTTATAGATCATGTAATTTTTGGAGACTAGTTATGTTGTTAATTGTCATCAAACTGACCCTGTGAATGGGAGACCTCCAAGTCTTCCTGTTATCAACAATTTTTCCCAGGCCTTCTAGACTTAAGTCCATGGTTGCCTTGATTGAGTCTATCCAACTCTGTGATTAATCTGGTCTTAAAGTTTTCTTTTCTGTGATTTTTTTTCCAGATGCGCTTTCTGAACTGTGTAAATGGGCGGAAAGAGCCTTCTCGCTCTATTCTGGATGTGGGTGTGCAAGATGCTATAAAATTCAGTGGATTTGATGAAAAGATGTTTCTCAAGCGAGGAGGGAAATATGTCTGGAGCAAAGTGGATATGGCACTCGAATGGTGATCAGACTCGTATATTATTTGCAAGTGCACTGAAATGCTGAGAACTATTTTCATCTACTCTACAAGAAAGCCCCCTGAGATTCTGAACAACCGCTTTTCTACCTAGCTATATTGCAACACTGAATATTCCAATGAACGTTGCATATTACAAGCACAGGATTGCACACATCTGGGAATTAGGCTTCCTTCACTTTAAATAAACAATTGTGCTAGCAAAAAATACAAAATGGGATACATGTTGGCTTAGGGAAAAGGTCTCCCTGAAGAACAATACTTGGATTGCCCAAGTGTTCTCTCAAGTGTTTCTCTCAGGACTTTTACATGCAGCATCTATTTTGCCAGAAGTGGATAAAGAAAACTGCAGATACAGGTTCTGCCGATATGGGGATCATATTGTATTAAGAATATAAGAGAATCTTCAAAAGATGTGTGGCCCAATACATGGAATTATATGCATCATTGTAATTAACAAGAACAGCTGAAAAGAAAATTCCAGACCCATAGAAGACATAGCAATGGCTAATGGAGGTTTGAAACACCTCCTACCTGTTGAACAGCTTTCAAAACAAATAAAATCACACAGCTCTTTTGGTATGCAGGATTGATGTGTGTTCAGAACTTTTTAACCAATAATCCATCCCTTCCCACATTTCTGTGTGCCAGGAACTGGTACAATATATGTGCTGTATTACTACTGTATTAGCATAGTTTCCTAGAAACTTAAAGCAGACTGGCAGTTTATGGCTTTCAGATCAAATGACACTAGAATCCTAGTGATAAGCTGGCTAGCAGAAGTCTTAATGTGTTCCTAAGGCTGTCTAGTTACCTCAGGTTATTATTTTATATTCATTGATTTATTTGATGTATTGATTTTTTTTCGTGTCAGGAGTGACTTGAGAAACTGCAAGTCGCTTCTGGTGTGAGAGAATTGGCCGTCTGCAAGGACGTTTCCCAGGGGACCCCCGGATGTTTTGATATTTTACCATCCTTATGGGAGGCTTCTCTCATGTCCCTGCATGGGGAGTTGGAGCTGACAGAAGGAACTCATCCGCGCTCTCCCCAGAATAGAACCTGCGGCCTGTCGGTCTTCAGTCCTGCCGGCACAAGGGTTCAACCCATTGCACCACCAGGGCTCATATGTATTGAAATAATGGTATTTCATGTTCTTTCTTTCTTGTATTGTATTCAGAATGCACTTTCTTGCCACTGTGTCTCAATTAACTCAGTTTTACATTTAAGAGAATTTTGCTGTGAAATTTGTATGTTTTTGGTTTTGCATGTGTCCTACATTATAGCTGTCTGACTATCTGGTTGCTCCTGATATGATAAATAAATAACATTATAGCTAAATGGCAAAAAACATTTCTGCATTTTTAAAAAAGATGGATTAGACTATGCAATTACAGATGCTGTTTTGTGTGTGTGTGTGTATTTTAATACAGAGTTGTAAGAAAATAAATAAACCATCCAATATTATTAAATAGTGTTCTTAAAATATGTTGCTGCATCTTTGACAATGTTTTGAAATTAGAAATCTCACATTTTCAGCATGTTTATGAACCCTTATAGCAGGGGTACGGAGTATGTGCAGTATTTGAATATCCTGGTGTGGTTGGATTGCAGTTTCCACCATTCCTGACCAGTGGATATCAGAATTGGGGCTAACTGGGCAACAACATCTGTCATACAAACATCTCAGCACCTGTATGCTTGCCCACAATGGCCCGGTGCATGGACAGAGGAAGAATTGTTTAAAGCTTCAGATGATGCAGTTGCTGTTGCCCTTTTTTGTCTAAAATTATCTAGCAGCTTGTGATCCCTTTATTTCATCAGTTTTAGATAAACTATTATATCCATTTTGGATAAACTATTTTATGCAATGCTACACAAAATAAATAAAAAATCTGGAGGGAAATAGGTTGCCCATATCATATTACTGGTACATTTGGAGACAAGTAATTCTGGTACAGTTAATTCTGCCATTGATGTATAGGGTTATACATTCAGTAGTCTTCACAGTTGTACTATTTTATCCCTCATCTGCTTTTACAAGGCCTAAAAAATTATTCTGCAAGAAATGTTGCAAGTAACTCCATGCAGGGCAGAATTTTTAGGCTGCCATCCGATTATGCTTCTTTTGTGATAGTAATGGGAGAAGAGCATGAATCCGACATGATTGCTGGGTAGATTAGGGTGGCTTAACTTTACTTTATCCACATTGACTCCCTGCCTCCCACACTCCAAATGTTACTTACTGGTTGTTTTTCATTTCATTTCTCCTAGGTGTATCTATATGTAACACGAGTCTTAGAAAGATTTTTTTCAAGGAAAAATAAGAAATGTAAGGGAGGGAAAAAAAACCCCAAAATGCACAGGTATAAGATGAGTGGTGCTTGGCTTGACAACAATACATGTAAAAGAGATCTAAGCAACTTAAACCACAAGCTGAATATGAGCCAACAACACAATTCGGCAGTTAAAAAAGCCAATGTGATTCCAGACTTAATCAATAGGATTGTAATATCTGACTGCAGGAAGTAATAACACCACCCTATTCTGCTTTGGTCAGACTTCATCTGGAATAGCCCTGTGTCATGTTCTGGGCCACCACAGGCTAGGATATGATCAGAGATGGGCAGCCAAAATGGTCAAAGTTTGGAAAACCAACCTCTATGAAGAACAAACCAGGGAGCTGGGTATGCTTAGCTTGGTGAAGAGATGGTTGTGAGGGAACATGATAGTTGTGTTTAAATATTTGAAAGGATGTTATGTTGAAGATTGAGTGAGCTTGCTTTCTGCTACTTGAGAGACTAGATTCCACCTAAACATTAGGAAGAACATCTTAATGGTGAGAGCTGTTTAATAGTAGAATATGATACCTTGGAGTGTTGGGGAAGTTTTTATTTTGGGTTTTTGAACAGAGGTTGGATGTTAATCTGTCTGGAGTGATTTGATAGTGAATTCTTACATGGAAGGAGTTGGACTGGAAGGCCCTTGTGGTCTCTTCCAACTCTTATGATTCTACAATTTTAAGTTCCAGTGTTGGAATCAGGGTGCTCCTGAATTCCAGTTGATGGAAACATAAATAGGAGAGTGAGCTGTTGTACCTGTGTTTTGCTTGCAAACTTCGCAGAAGTATTTAGTCAGTCACTGTGGGAAAAAATGCTGGACTAAATAGGTGTTTGGTTAGATCCAGAATGACTGGAGTCCTTATGACAGTAATTATATTACATATTTTTTAAGCAACAGTGTAATAATATTTTTGGAGGCGGCTTTTAAGTGTCTGGTAATGATGACCCTTGTGCATCTGCCAGACATATATTTAGACCAAAGCCACAGAGTCTATATAAAAACAGAGTATTGTACACCATGAGGGAAAAAGCAAAAACACTTCTTAAAATGTCAATTCAGCTTAATTGCTGTATTTATTGCTAGAACCATAATCATATAGAACTCCAGTGGGACAAACTTGTGGAATTATTGAATCCTTATATTTACTTTATATAGATGTTGCATGTGAATTCCCCCCCCCCCCCTTACTCGCCTCTTTAAAATATGTAAGATGCCACAGAAACAATTACAGGGATTGATTGCATAGTAGTTCAGTAAAGACTGACATGCTTTAACTTGGACTGCTGCCTAAAAAAGCCTGCAAGCCTACACCACGAGACTTGGGTCTTTCATTACGGATTGGTCCATGCCTTCGATTCTTAATGCTATAAATGGAGAATGTATTAGAAGAAGTATTATGGCAGCTGTTATTTTAGCCACAATATTGGCAAACAATGCTACATCAAATATTTAACCCAGGTTATATCTACTCAGAGCCCCTGGTGGCACAGAGGGTTAAACCACTGAGCTGCTGAATTTCCGACCGAAAGGTTGGCAGTTCAAATCCAGGGAGCGGGGTGAGTTCCCGCTGTTAGCCTCAGCTTCTGCCAACCTAGCTGTTTGAAAACATGCAATTGTGAATAGGTCAATAGGTACTGCTTTGGCAGGAAGGTAACTGCGCTCCAAGCAGTTATCCCGGCCACATGACCTTGGAGGCATCTATGGACAACGCCTGCTCTTCAGCATAGAAATGGAGATGAGCACCACTGCCCAGAGTCGGATACGACTAGACTTCATGTCAACATTTACCTTTACCTTATAGTCGACTTAATAGAATTATAAAACTATACAGTGGGCCCTCCAGATGCATGGGATTCAGACCCACAGTTTCCAGCAACTGGACCATCACATCCCATATTAGTAAATGGTAGGGACCTGAATGGAAACACCCCGGACCATGCTCATTCAGGCCACCAGCATTTAATAATTAGGGGCATGATTGCAATAGTTCATATTCACAATGTGTCGGAGAACCAAACCCCCATGGATATGGGGAGAGGGGTCCCATTGTAATTCCACTTTAATGCATGCAGCTTAATCCATTAGAATAGTGAGATTTGCAATCTGGCAAGGGGCATTTACAGTTCTCAACTGGAGCATTCCTCCAGTGCCTCTGAAGAAATACAAATTATTGAGGCCCATTCATACTAGTACAAAAATTATACCGAAATGATTCCACTTTTACTTCCACGGGTCCATCCTATGGACTCCTGGGATTTCTAGTTTAGTGAGTTCTGGAATTGCTGTGACTGACAATCCTAAATGCCCTTCCATCAGTGTTGACTCTCAGGATTCCATATATGGGGGGGGGGGGGGGGGGGGAATAGAACAACGATGCTACATTTGTCTACTTCATATGTATGCCATAGGATGCAGCCATGGAAGTTGAAGTGGAATCAGTGCTACAGTTGTGTAAAGATTGTGAAAGGATACTCAAGATGTATTCCAGATGTTTCAAATGGAAAGACAGTGCTCCAGGGAGCTGGGCAACCTCTGGTCTTCCAGATGTTCTTTGGACTACAGCTACTACCAACCTGTGATAAAGTGCTTTCCCACTCATTATCTGAGAAACACAAGTAAGGATTATAGTCTCCCCTCCAGATAAACAAAGGGTTAAGAATGTATTGGGTCAAGTTAAATGAGAGAATCAGCATTGCAGAAGAGTCACAGAGGCCATGATTTGAGAGAAGTGTGAAGTTTAAGATACTTTCAAAAAAGAACTTATAAACCCTCAGGATGCCACAAAGAAGAAAGATAGACAAAGTGAGTGAAAAGGCAGAGTACCTGGCTCACCTGGGGAAAGTTTGGTTGAAGCTGGGCAAATACATGCAGACACCATACGAATATTCAAATCCAGAACACCATTTACATTGTGAGTATAATGGGAAATGTGTAGCTAGACTTGTGCATAATTTTGCATTGTGAATATAATGGGAAATGTATAGTAGACTTGTGCATAATTTTGGATCATAATCGTATATTGGATTAAATTCGATAAATTGATGTATACAAATTACGAGACATGCAGAAAAGGAGGGGCTTAGAAATTGAAACACCATTTTTCGTTAATGTTCTGTAACATTCAGATGTCTCCCAAGTTCTGTTTAATTTTCAGTATAACCATTAAGCAACTTTAAGCCAAGAGAACACCAAACGCAGCATTGCCCAAACACGAATCAAGGAACATGAAAGGCACTGCAGACTACTTCAATCAGAGAAGTCAGCCATAACAGAGTACCTGATGAACGAACCTGGGCGCAGCATATTATTTGAGAACACAGAAATGCTGGATCACTCTAACAGTCACCATATCAGACTTCACAGAGAAGCCATTGAAATCCACAAGCATGTGGGCAATTTCAACAGAAAGGAGGAAACCATGAAAATGAACAATATCTGGCTACCAGTATTTAAAAAAACCCCTCTAAAATCAGGACATTAAATAACGAGCAACACTAAAACAAAAACAAAACAAACAAACAAAAACCAGGGGAATTCCAGACAGGAAACAATCAAGGCCAGGTAACACCTCCCAAAAAAGGATTCCCCTAAGCGGGAAGCAGCCAGGCTTTGAAGCTGCAAGGCCATTCAAAGCTAATCAAGGTGGTCAATTGCAACATTCACACCTGCCCTGAACAGACAAGACTTCTTTCTCCCACCCTGGACATTTCACAAATACCCTGTTTTCCTGAAAATAAGACATCCCCTGAAAATAAGACCTAGTGGAGGTTTTGCTGAATTGCTAAATATAAGGCCTCCCTGAAAGTAAGACCTAGCCACGTTTTTGTTTGGAAGCATGCTCCCCCTGGTGGCCAGAAGCTGCAATACCATCCCTGCTGTACAAGTGGTCCAGGAACTGCTGTGGGAGATAATGACAGTCTCCAGACAGTGTGTGGGAGCCAGGTACTTAACAGCCCTTATTTTTTGTGGCACTGTGTATGAGGGCCACTATATTTATTATATACTGTCAACTACTGTACAGTATATAATACATGTTCACTTTTTGTTAAAAAATAAATGTGAATTCTTCTTCATGGAAAAATAAGACCTCCCCTGAAAATAAGACCTAGCACATTTTTGGGAGGAAAAATTAATATAAGACACCATCTTATTTTCGAGAAAACAGGGTATATAAACCTCACTTGCCCAGTTTCCAACAGATCTCACAACCTCTGAGGATGCCTACCATAGATATGGGCAGGTCAGTGGTTCGAATCCAGGGAGAGTGGGTTGAGCTCCCTCTGTTAGCTCCAGCTCCCATCCCACAAGGATGGTAAAACATCAAAAACATCTGGGTGTCCCCTGGGCAATGTCCTTACAGATGGCCAATTCTCTCACACCAGAAGCGGTTTCTCAAGTCGCTCCTGACAGGAATGTTGGATAATAAGGAGGGATTAAGGAAAAGCCTATTAAACATCATATTACATTACAATTTTACAAATTAAGCACCAAAATGTCATGTTTTACAACAAATCAACAGAAAAAGCAGTTCAATACATGGTAACATTATGTTGTAATTTCTGTATTTACAAATTCAGAACCAAAACATCTCAATGTATTGAAACAGCTGTGGATCCGGGTGGCATGCAGACTGCTTGAGTACAGAACATTGGATGAGCAAAGGTTGGATAAGCGAGACTCTATTGTAAATAAATTTGGGCAAAATGTCAGGAGAGAATGCTTCTTGAACATGGCCAGACAGCCTGGAAAACTCACAGCAAACCCAGTGATTCCAGCCGTGAAAGCCTTCGACAACACAATTCAACATAGTTTGTGGCAGTTTAAAAAACAAAGTATTTGGAGTATAACAACCACTTTTCTAAATAAGTGTGACCCAATTAAACAGGAAAGAATACTTTCAAACCAGGAACAGATTGGGTAAGTTTGTCGGGCTGTATGGCTATGTTCCAGAGGCATTCTCTCCTGACGTTTCGCCTGCATCTATGGCAGGTATCTTCAGTGGTTGTGAGGTCTGTTGGAAACAAATCAAGTGAGGTTTATATAAATGTGGAATGTTCAGGGTGGGAGAAAGAACTCTTGTCTGTTTGAGGCAGGCGTGAATGTTGCATTTGGCCACCTTGGTTAGCATTAAATGGCTTGGCAGCTTCAAAACTTAGCTGCTTCCTGCCTGGGGCAATTTCAACAGACCTCACAACCTCTGAGGATACCTGCCATAGATGTGGGCAAAACATCAGGAGAGAATGTCCAGAGTGGGAGAAAGAACTCTTGTCTGAGGCAGGTGTGAATGTTGCATTTGGCCACCTTGGTTAGCATTGAATGGCCTTGCAGCTTCAAAGCTTGGCTGCTTCCTGCCTGGGGGGAATTTCAACAGACTTCCTGACCTCTGAGGATGCCTGCCATAGATGTGGGCGAAACGTCAGGAGAGAATGTCCAGGGTGGGGGAAAGAACTCTTGTCTGTTTGGGGCAGGTGTGAATGTTGCAATGGGCCACCGTGGTTAGCACTGAATGGCCTCGCAGCTTCAAAGCCTGGGGGAATTTCAACAGACTTCCCAACCTGTGAGGATGTCTGCAATTGATGTGGGTGAAACGTCAGGAGAGAACGTTTCTGTTGGAGGTAGGTGTGAAGAGATTTTTGCTTCCAAATTGTGTTACTCAGGCAGTGGTTCTCAACCTGGGGTCCCCAGATGTTTTTGGCCTTCAACTCCCAGAAATCCTAACAGCTGGTAAACTGGCTGGGATTTCTGGGAGTTGTAGGTCAAAACGCCTGGGGACCCACAGCTTGAGAACCATTGTGAGTGCAGTACTTCAATTGCCCTGGCTCAAGGCTAATGGTCCTCCAGGGCTTGGCACTTCAACTCCCAGAAGCCTCTGCCGCCTTGGCCAATGAGGAGGGGTTCTGGGAGCTGAAGTCCCAAAAGGCAAAGCCTTGGAAGGCGGAGGCGAGGTCAAAAGCACGCAATGTCCCTGTTGGGCCGGCAGGGGTCGCTTCGGGAAGGCTGGCTGAATGGCGTCCTGGCGCGTCGCGTAGCAATCGCCTTTCCCGCCCCTGCGAAGGGAGGGAATGGGCCGCGAGGGGCCGTTCTTGCCGCCGCCGCCAGAGAAGAAGGCAGCGCCCTGGCGCGGAGAGCCGGCTTGGCCTTGGCAAGGAGGGAGAAGGAAGGCGGGCGGAGGGCGGCCAGGAGGAGGCTGAGGAGGAGGAGGCTCCTTCGCCATGCGAGCCAGGCTGAAGGCATCCTGGAGGAGCTGCGCCGGAGACTGAGGAGAAGGAGCGGCGCCTGGTCCATGCAAGGAGCGAGGCGGAGGAGGAGGAGAGGGAGACGGAGACCAGGCGGCCTCGGGAGGGAGGAGGACGAGGAGGGTAAGGCGCCCCCTTCGCAGCAGCCCCCTTTGTGCCTCAGCCTTGGCACACACACACACCTCTTGCCTGCCTGGATCCACACTGCCGTTGGGAATGGGATGGAATCTCATCCGGGTCTCCCCTGGCCATCGCGTGCCCTTCCCAACGGGTCTCCCTGCAGCCACATCTACACGCTTGGTACCATTTTGACAGCCATGGCTCCATGCTTTAGGGCCCTTCCCGGCAGGCCCTGGGTCTTATCCCAGGTTATCTGGCACTGTGGACTCATATAATCCGGTTTAAATCAGAAGACCTGGGGATCAGATCCTGGGATTTATATAGGGCCTTCCTCGCAGCCCTGTATCCCAGAATAACTAGGCAGAAAATCCCACATTATCAGAGTGTATGCTGCAAGTCTCCTCTGGTGTGAGATAATAGACTGTCTGCAAGGACGTTGCCCAGGGGATGTTTTGATGTTTCTTTACCATCCTGGTGGGAGGCTTCTCTCATGTCCCCTCATGCGGAGCTGGAGCTGACGGAGGAAGCTCAACCCTCTCTCCCTGGATTCGAAACACTGACCTATTGGGGTCCTTCTGATAATATCTGATAATAGGCTGTCTGCAAGGACGTTACCCAGGGGATGTTTTGATGTTTCTACCATCCTTGTGGGAGGCTTCTCTCATGTCCCCTCATGAGCTGGCAGAGGAAGCTCAACCCACTCTCCCTAAATTCAAAATGCTGACCTCTTGGAGCCCTTCCACACATCCCCAAAATCTCAGAATTTCAAGACAGAAAATCCCACATTATCCCCTCATGTGGAGCTGGAGCTGACAGAGGAAGCTCAACACATTATCCCCGGATTCGAACCGCTGACCTCTTGGGGCCCTTCCACATAGTCCTATATTTCAAATATCAAGGCAGAAAATCCCACATGATCAGAGTGTGGACTGCAAGTTTCCTCAAGTGTGAGATAATTGGCTGTCTGCAAGGACGTTGCCCAGGGGATGTTTTGACTTTTTTTACCATCCTGGTGGGAGGCTTCTCTCATTTCCCCTCATACGGAGTTGGAGCTGATGGAGGAAGCTCAACCCACTCCCTGGATTCGAAACGCTGACCTATTGGGGCCCTTCCACACAGCCCTATATCCCAGAATATCAAGGCAGAAAATCCCACATTATCAGACTGTGGACTGCAAGTCTCCTCTGGTGTGAGATAATCAGCCGTCTGCAAGGACGTTGCCCAGGGGATAGCCCGGATGTTTTGATGTTTCTACCATCCTTGTGGGAGGCTTCTCTCATGTCCTCTCATGCAGAGCTGGAGCTGACAGGAAGCTCAATCCATTATCCCCAGATTCGAACCACTGACCTCTTGGGACCTTCCACACAGTCCTATTTCTCAGAATATCAAGGCAGAAAATCCCACATTATCTGAGTGTGGACTCAGATAATCCAGTTTAAAGCAGATATTGTGGGATATTCTGCCTTGATATTCTGGGATGTAGGGCTGTGTGGAAGGGCCCTGAGGCATAGAGTCCCACTGCTGAACAACTGTGTGGAAGAGCACCAAGGCTCCTTCCACACAGCTGAATAAAATCCCACATTATCTGCTTTTTCCCCCTTTCTTTCGTGTCAGAAGCAACTTGAGAAACTGCAAGTCACTTCTGGTGTAAGAGAATTGGCTGTCTGCAAGGACGTTGCCCAGGGGACACCCGTATGTTTGATGTTTTTTACCATCCTTGTGGGAGGCTTCTCCCATGTTCCCTCGTGCTGAGCTGAAGCTGACAGAGGAAGCTCAACCCACTCTCCTTGGATTTGAACCACTGACCTCTTGGTCAGTAGTGCTGCCAGCACAAGGGTTTAACCCATTGCGCCACTGGGGGCTCCATTATCTGCTTGAACAGTGTGGCAGTGTGGACTCAGATAACCCAGTTCGAATCAGGTATTGTGGGATTTTCTGCCTTGATATTAGAGCTGTGTGGAAGGGCCCATAGGGAGTTAGTTATTGGTTCACAAGGCTTTTAGAGTGCCCAAGAGTGCTGCTGGCCTCTCACCAAACTCCAGCTCCCTCCATCCCATAGCACAGAGCACTGACAGTTAAAGGGGTGCCACACCACATTCATTCTGCAGTGTAGATGCAACCTTTGACTTTGGAGATCGGAATCACAAGGATCTCCTAACATTGAACCATGGAAGTTAGAAGGGCATCAGGTGGCATTAATTCTATAGTGTAGATCAGGCATGGACAAATTTCAGCCATCGAGATGTTTTGGACTGTTAGGAATTGGACTGTTAGGAATTGGTTAGGAACTGGCTGTTGGGAATTGTGGGAGTTGAAGTCCAAACACCTGGAGGGCCGAAGTTTGTCCATGCCTGTATAGGTGCCCCCTCAGAGACAAATCAACGCTCCAAATAGAGGTGGCACATTTGGGACAGCTATTTCATACAACACTGTTTTAGAATTCCAACCCCCAAACACATTTGGGCCTACAACTCCCAGAAATCCCTGCTATTTTACCAGCTGTTAGGATTTCTCGGAGTTGAAGGCCAAAACACCTCGGGACCCACAGTTTGAGAACCACTGCAACAGCACCCTTTTATTACACTGTTGGTTTACCTGAGCACCCACAGATGATTTCAAGGGCATCGTTTTACTATGCCTTCAAATATGTGGAATGGGAACATCCATGAATAATATAAAAGGCACTATTTTGCTACATTTTTATATGCTGCATTTCTTCGATTCTAAGATACCCTCCCCCCCCCAAAAAAAAAAATTCTGAAAACAGCCTGTGTTTTTAAAACCAGCTTTTTTCTGTGTTAGGAGCGACTTGAGAAACTTCAAGTTGCTTCTGGTGTGAGAGAATTGGCCGTTTGCAAGGATGTTGCCCAGGGGATGCCTGGATGTTTTACCATCCTGTGGGAGGCTTCTCTCATGTCCCTGCATGAGATGCTGGAGCTGACACATGGGAGCTCACCACTCTCACCAGATTCAAACCACCAACCTTTTGGTCTGCAGTCCTGCCGGCACAAAGGTTTAACCTATTGCGCCACCAGGTGCTCCTAGAACCACATGCTCCTTCTTTGGAGGCTCATAAGCAGAGGCTGGATGGCCATCTGTCGAGGGTGCTTTGAATGCAATTTTCCTGCTTCTTGGCAGGGATTGGACTGGATGGCCCACAAGGTCTCTTCCTACTCTAGGATTCTATGATTCTAGATGCTTATATATCTATGCTTTGTGGAGTTATAAAGGGTTGGAGAGATGCCAGGGAAATTAGGCAAGGAAGTTTGATTGGAAGCCCCTTAAAGATCTTTTGTCTAACAGCATGCGTCTTCGTCAGAAAAAGCATAAAAGAAACAAGTTAAAAATACAGAAACCCAACACCTTCCCCCAGTAATGGTTAATCATAGAGAGGTGTGAACTGGCCTTGAAGCTGTGTGGGTGTGTATGGAAATATGAAAATCTCCCTCTGTGGTTAAGCATATTAACAGCATCATTCCTGTACATGGATGGCTGATCAGTAAGGCTTCCTTCCAGGTAAGTGTGCATAAGATTGTAACCTTGCCTCAAATCTGGATTGACTCATACATTTCTTGCTGGAATGTTAGGAATAGAGACAGAGCGAGACATGGAAGGATGTGGAAATATTTGAATCACATGGGAGATTTGTGTGTGTTTGTGTCTCTGTCTAAATCTCTTGCTGTATCTGAAACAGACAGGTGTCTCATCCCACAGTGGAGAGGCGAATCCCTCCTTTCGAGTTTATAGATCAGTAGTTCTCAGCCTTCCTAATGCCGCGACCACAGGTCCTCATGCTGTGGTGGCCCCCAACCATAAAGTTATTTTTGCTACTTCATAACTATAATTTTGCTACTGTTATTAATCATAATGTAAATATCTGATATGCAGGATGTATTTTCATTTGGCACAAATACCCGATACACCCAAATTTGAATACTGGTAGGTTGGGGGGGGGGGGGGAGATTGATTTTGTCATTTGGGAGTTGTAGTTGCTGAGATTTATAGTTAACCTACAATCAACAAGCATTCTGAACTCCACCAATGATGGAATTAAACCAAACTTGGCACACAGAACTCCCATGACCAACAGAAAATACTGGAAGGGTTTGCTGGACATTGACCTTGAGTTTTGGAGTTGTAGTTCACCTATATACAGATAGCACTGTGGACTCAAACAATGATGGATCTGGGCCAAACTTGGCACGAATACTCAGTATGCCCAAATATGAACACTGGTGGAGTTTGGGGAAATAGAATTTGACATTTGGGAGTTGTAGTTGCTGGGATTTATAGTTCACCTACAATCAAACCCCACCAATGATAGAATTGGGCCAAACTTCTTGAACAGAACCCCCATGACCAACAGAAAATATTGTGTTTTTTGATGGTCTTTGGTGACCCCTCTGACACCCCCTTGCAACCCCCCTCCCAAGGGTCCCAACCCTCAGGTTGAGAAACGCTTCTATAGCTCTAAATGTGTGTGCGCGCGCACACACAGAGTGTATGAACTGATTTTAGACCTCTCCCCTATGGTCTTTTGGCATAACCACACTTGGCATCTCTCCTGGCATTGCATTCTCTTTTAATGAAACGATTTTGGCACGGGTACTTCCTGCTCAGTCCTCCCACCCCGTAGCCACAGTTGGAGATTTTAGAGATCTACCAAAGAGGTGGAGAATGCAGCCAGCATCTACAACCTCCGTGGCTTTAATACCCGAGCAGCTTTGGCATCGCCTGAACCTAGGCAGTGGCAAGGAGAGCTGCCTCGTAGTTTAATCCTTCCCACGGACAGATTTTCTGCAGGAGAAGGAAAAAAAAAGAGAGGCGGGCCAAGATCTGACAGCGCTTGGCCTTGAAGGTCTGTTGTGCCTTTAGGGAGGGCTAGTAGGACAGAGAGAGGAAGCCTTGGGAGCATATTTAAGAGGCTTTGGGTAGATTTAGACATAGAAGGGGGATTTTTATAAAGATGGGAGATTTTTCTTTCTCGATTCTCAGATTTTAAT